GGAATTGAGCTATAACTGCTAATGAAGTCGAAGAACCATCATTTCAAATGCCGTTCTAGCTCATTGAAGAACATGTCGAAGAAGAACAAGAAGATCATGAGGATGTGGGCAAGTCTTTTGAAGAAGCAACATCCTATGCAATATGACAAATCAAACGAAGCACTCCTTGACACGAGTTTAAAAGGTCTACATGTCCCAAATCAAACGAAATACTCATTGACACGAGTTTAAAAGGTCTACAAGTCCAAATCAAGTGAAACACTCCTTGACACGAGTTTAAAAGGTCTACATGTCCAAATCAAATCAAGTATTCCTTGACACGAGTTTAAAAGGTCTACATGTCCCAATCAAACACTCCTTGACACGAGTTTAAAAGGTCTACAAGTCCAAATCAAGTGAAATACTCCTTGACACGAGTTTAAAAGGTCTACAAGTCCAAATCAAGTGAAACACTCCTTGACACGAGTTTAAAAGGTCTACATGTCCAAATCAAATCAAGTACTCCTTGACACGAGTTTAAAAGGTCTACATGTCCAAATCAAATGAAGCACTCCTTGACACGAGTTTAAAAGGTCTACATGTCCAAAAGAAAATGAAATACTCCTTGACACGAGTTTAAAATGTCTACAAGATCAAATCAAATCAAGGCTCCTTGATACGAGCATAAACTATCTACATATCCAAGTCAAGTCAAGGCTCCTCGATATGAGCATAAACTATCTATATATCCAAATCAAATCAAGGCTCCTCGATATGAGCATAAACTATCTATATATCCAAATCAAATCAAAAGCTCCTCGATATGAGCATAAACTATCTATATATCCAAATCAAGTCAAGGCTCCTTGATACGAGCATAAACTATCTATATATTCAAGTCAAGTCAAGGCTCCTTGATACGAGCATAAACTATCTACATATCCAAGTCAAGTCAAGGCTCCTCGATATGAGCATAAACTATCTATATATCCAAATCAAATCAAGGCTCCTTGATACGAGCATAAACTATCTATATATCCAAATCAAGTCAAGGCTCCTTGATACGAGCATAAACTATCTATATATCCAAGTCAAGTCAAGGCTCCTCGATACGAGCATAAACTATCTATATATCCAAATCAAGTCAAGGCTCCTCGATACGAGCATAAACTATCTATATATCGAAATCAAGTCAAGGCTCCTTGATACGAGCGTAAACTATCTACAAATTCAAGTCAAATGCTCCTTCAGCACGAGTTTAAACTGCAAATGTTTCTCCTTGTCCACATGAGTGTAAACTGTGCATGACATCCCTCAAAAGGATATATTTTGAACTACGTTATGACTTGATCCCTCTATAGGGTACGTAGGCAACTTAGAATCTCTCTAAGTCCAGTCATGATTTCAAAAAAATGTATGTGCTTTGCTAGATCAAGCTGCAATTGAAGTTAAACAATTATCGAGACTCATTCACTCCAAGACGCATTGTCCGTGAATAAGTTTCGAGGGGGCATTTGTAGACACGTAAATTTAATATAATTTATATTATATTAAATTGAATCCCAAGATTATAATTTATCTTGCAAAATAAGTCATGGAGATAATTATCAATTAATTATTGACCAATAGGATTGTTTCTTCTCTTCCAAGTTATAAGAGATAAATATCAATTTAAAGAGAGCCAATCAAATCGCGCCACGTCATCAAGAAGACTTTGTGTAAGACTCTTATTCTACCACTATAAATAGGGACCCTCCCTACACAATTCAAAGCACAACTCAAGAAGAATAAAAACCGTAGGAGAAAATTCTCTCTACAATATTCAAGTCGTTCTTCATCAAATTCAAGGCGTTCTTCATCAAATCGAAGGAGTTCATCAAATCGAAGGTGTTCTTCATCAAATCAAGGCGGTAAAGCGTTTAATTCGAGATTACGGTGCTAAACCCTCGAATTAACGTTATTAACATCAAATCAAGATCGAAGGAAGATTGAAGGGCCAAATCCATCAAGAACTCCAAGATCTTCAAGTCAAAATCCGTCAAAGTTCAGCGTTCGATCCGAGATTCAAGTCGCAAGACCCTCGGAAGACATTTTTCAAATCCAAATCAAATCCGGAGAAGATCAAGTCAACGACTCGTCTCCGAAATTCAAAGTCAATCATATATTTTTCTTGAGAGAATAATCAGAGGATTAAATTAGAGTTTGTAACCCGCAATATTTTATTTTAATTCAATAAATTATCTTTGTGCAAGTATTTTCTTGTTTGTCTAAATCGCAGATAAGAATTTTGTTGTTACAGCTGTAATTACCCAAACAAGAGGAGTTTTTTCGTAATTTGGACATACCTCGTGCTCTATTTAAAATATATCACCTAATCACGTATGTAATATTATTTCATAAATATAATATTTCTGATTTTTTTGAATATTTTTTGAAATTAAACTATATCGGAAATCGAAATTTCCAATTATTTTATATACGTCACGTCCGATCCAATCCAAGCAAATTTCGGAAAATTGAAATTCGGTATTCTTGAATTGGAACTAAAAATTTAGTTCCAAAATCCAAAAATATCAGATCGAAATCGTCGGAATTCATAAATTCCGTTCCACTTTCCACTCCTAACGCACGTGCGTATAAAATCGAATTTATTACCTGAGGGACTCGGGTTTATTCGGACAATGAAACTGAGGATGCACAAAAACCTTCAAGAAATCCCTCCAGCAAAAAACCTTCTCTTTCTCAGTATTAAAGCTTGTCCCATATCTAATAGGTTCTAGAACATTCTTCGGCTGGAATTCCGGTTTCTCTTCCTCCGACAAATCGAAGAATTCATTAACTACCTCAAGCATACCCTTCATCAACTCTTCTGGTATTCCATGATTCACTACCTATATACACATATACATACAGAGTTAGTAGATTAACGACTTTATAATTAAGTAATTAATTATGCTAATTACCATGAAGAAGCCCCAATCCTGACAGGCGATTTCGAGGTCGTTGATGGCTTTGGACTTGAGATTAGGGTTTTGGGAAGTGAGAAGAGAGAGATCGACGGTGGGGATTGATTCGTTTGATCCGGTGGTTTCTGTGTTGTAGGCGTAGTTGGATGGGATGGAGTTGAGTTCCGGTGATTCTGCTAGCTTTTTTACACATGTTATGGTGGGTGGCGGTGGCAGAGGAGTTGCGGCGGCTGAGTTATGGCGGAGGAGTGGTGGTGATGCTGTCATCTTTCGCGCGCGTGTGTGTGTAATTTTGATCACTTGTTGAATTTGTGGGGTGGATAATGTTTGTGGTTATTTTGACACAGTTCAATTATTATTGGCATGAATGCTGAATATATATCTCAATCATGACTATGGTCTATGAGTTGTGGAATTTTCTAGTTCTATTGCAACGTGGCGCGGAAATTTTAATTAATAGTTTTAAGAAATAGAATTAATTTTGAACAGGTTTTAAAAAATTAATATATTACAATAGAGATAATATACAAACTATCATTTAAATGACAAATATTTCGTTACTTTAAGTCTTAAACAGATGTTAAAAATATGGGGTTATTTTACATGCCCCCTAGCCACCAAATAAACTAGGGATAAACCCAAGTCCAAATCATCATTTGACATATCCCCTGGGAAAGCGAAAGTACTATACTATCCTTATGTGCAATTTTCGGCCAAACTGTATTCAGCATTTATGGTCCTGCATTTATCATTTTCGCTGATTTATTTATTATTATTAATTTTTTTTTTTTCTTATAAATCTGTTTGTTAAATATATATATATATATATATATATATATATATATATATATATATATATATATATATATTAGTTTTTTTTATAAATAAAAAAAATTATTTTTTTTTTATTTTTTTTATTTTTATTTTTAATTTTCAAAACAATATGTTTACAGTACTGAAAATAACTACATGTAACTATAGTAATTCATAGTTATGTTCGTTTTTTCCCCATATTTTTAGTCGATCAATTGTACGTATACACACACGAATACTGACTTATACAAAATAAATTCATAAAACCCCAACAAAAATTTACAAAATTTAAATATTTTTATTATAAATCACATCAGAACCAAAAAATACAAATCGAAAATACATAAATATACGCATATGTAACTACATGTAAGTTGTAACTACATGTTACTATAGTAATGTATAGTTATGTTCACAGTCTGTTGAACAGATCTGATGTAACTTAAAAAAACAAAAAATTGACACCTTCAAGGAAATGATCAATGGCCTTCATTAAGCTGCAATTGCAAAATCAAAACAAAAAGAAATTGCTTTAGTGCAAATCAACAAATTTGAATAAAAACATCAAAACACTCAAAAATCACCAAACATTAAGAGATCGAGAGATAGAGAGAGAGGTTATTGCTGGGAAATGCAAAAAAATATAGAAATAAATCTGGAAAAAAATAAAAATAAACGAAATTACCATCAAAATATAGATCCCGACGAAAGGAATCCAACGGTGGATGACCCGTCAAATTTCGACGGGTGAAACACAAAATAAAGCTCCGGCAAGACCACCGTTCTCGAATGAAAAAAAATTGCAGAAACAGATCCGCGCTCGAAACTGAATGAAATCACCACCAAAAGAAAGAGCTCGACGAGAGGAATCCAACGGTAGTTAAACCATCGAATTCCGACCACCGGAGAGAGAGTTATGGCTCCGGGAAGCAATTTCGCCGGTGAGAGGTTTGTAGAGGCGCGATTTTGAATCTGGGAGAAGAAGAGAGAGACCGTGAGCGGCTAGGGTTAAAACTGATTTTAGAAGGGTATTATAGGAACTTCAGGGTAGCCCAGGGGGGTATGTCAAAATATTTTCGAAATGAGGGGGGTTTCACCTAGAGTGTAATCCACTTGGTAGTTAGTTTTATATAATTTGGAAATGAGGGGGGTCTACAAAATAATCCCTAAAAATAATTATAACTAAATTGCAAAGTTTGAAAATCTAAAAAACCTGATCAAAATTTTTAAAGTCGTGGAGCTAATTGCAATTTTTTGAAAACTTTGATTTGAAAGTTAAAAACCCTAGTTTGACGAAGTAAAACAGATGATTCATGCCGTTCCAATCTCGTTCTGGTACACGTTTCCCGGCGTTTTTGTCGTGGAACAATTTCGCTACGGACTCCAGCACAATTTAGGGTTCCCGTTCCGTTCGGGCCATTAAGGCAAACCATAGTCACACTGCCAATAATATATCCACTTGAATGATTATATGTATGTGTCTTAATTAGAACATTATAATTTAGCCTCCTTTCAGCAAATAAACCAAATGCAAACATATATACATATAGATACAAAAACCCCTCTCCAAAAGATTCAATTAGCATTCACTATAAAGGCTCTACTTCACATTTTTTGAAGCTGCAGCACCTTAATTATTATACAATTTAACAATCATGAACATCATTTCCAAAACTTTTTTACTTACATTTTCTTGTGTGTGTGTGTATATATATATATATATTACACTCTGTAATTTTCCGGAAAACGCCTATTCTTCGATTAGGCAATCCCCATTTCTTCGAAAATTTTATTGAGTAACCGAGTTCCGGTTCTTGCTGCTATGCCTCGACAAGAAAACCTTAGCACTGCAAGAAAGCGATCTCTTCACCGAACAAGTCCCCGTTTGCATATTAGACAAGCTTCGATTATTGTCTGAACTCTTGTCTGAAAAATCATTATTAGCAATTGCTGAACTGATAATCGATGCAGATAAAGAATCGAACGACACTGATCTTCTTGTAGGTATTATCCCATGATCTAAATCGCAACCAATTCGAGCAGTACGTGATTCCGATTCCGATTCCGCTAAGTCGGTATCAATCTCAATCGTCAGTTCATGAGAAGGCCCGTTTAATAATTCGACTCGGGTTCGGGTTTCTTCGACCGGGCCCGGATTCTCGACAACGGGCTCCTGCGGTGGGTTGTTGCACACGACTGGGGCCCGGCACATGGGGCAGTTAGTGTGTGACCTGAGCCACGTGTCGATACAGGGTAGGTGGAATGCGTGGTTGCATTTGGGGAGCAATCTTAGGGTTTCGTCCTGTTCGAATTCGCTCAGACAAACAGAGCAATCCGTGCCTTCGATCAGACCGTCGCCTTTATTGTAATTAACGATCGTGATTGCGCCGATCACGGACGGCTGCAGGCCAACCGTTCTGATGTACCACACGTGGTGGTCAACCGCGGCAGGGCCGTGGTCTTCATCGAGGAATTCGTCGGGGCCGAAGTCGTCGTCTTCTTCTTCTTCTCCAGTCTGGCGCCGCCGTGAGGGCCACCGCCGGCGACGGGAGTTTCGGGAGGCGGAGTAGAGTCTGTAGATGGTGTAGCAGGTGAAGAGGAAGAAAGTGGCGGCGAGGATCGCGAGGGAGACGGTGAGGAATATAGGGAGGCTGTAGGGCTTGGTGGCCGGCGGAGGGGTGAAGATGAGGACCGGGGTTTCCGGCGACGGCGTGAAGCAGAACGGAGGGCAGTAATCGAGACATTTAGATGGGCAAACGGCATCCGGATTTTTCGAGCTCTTGCAGAACAAATCACAGAGTTTATCTAGGCTTTCTTCTGGATCGACGGCGGCGGATTCGTTCAGCAGTTTTCTGTGATGAAAGGCCATCGGAATTTAGTGACAGCTGCGGCGGCGTTTGATTTTGTGCGGAGGGGAGAGAGAGAGAGAGAGAAGAGAGAGAAACTCATTCACTTTGCGTTTGTTTTTCTATTCTTTGCGCGTTAAGTTTGGACTTTTTTTGTGGTCTTAAACTCTCTGGCGGCTGAGTTTCGGGCTTTGACTGGGCTGATCTTATTCGGCCCGTTCTTACTTACGAGCCGAATCTAATATTTTACTGCCAACCCCTTTATATATGTTTAAATTACGAAAAATACTCTTATGTTTGGGTAATTACAATTACCTCCTTCAACTATGTGTTTTCTTATGAAAAAACTCCTAATTCGGTCGGTAAATTAGACACCTTAACGTGTAACTATCCAAACATGAAGAGGGTATTTTCGTAATTTAACATTAGTTTAGGGGTGAACGTGATTTACCCAATATTTTATTTTGTGTAAAAACATTATTATTATTTTTTTCTTTTTGTATAAAAACATTATAGTTGGTGTTTGTTGAACGAATTTGTTGTATTTTACTAGTCTTTATCAGAGTTAAATTTATGGTAGTAAATCTTTAAACTTTGATTGGATTATTCTATTAATGGTAATTTAAAGTCATTTCCGTGGAATAAATACTTAAGAGATATATATTGTTTATGATGTAATTAGGGTGAAAATCGGACGCATCGTATCGGAATTGACTGACGTACCATCGGTGAATTGACGAAAAATACTAAAAGTGTTAAATTTATTGAAACACAATGGATCAAATGTATTTTTTTTGAAAATGGGGGACCAAATGTAAACTCATTGCAAACTTGAGGGAAAAAAACTATAATATTCTCAATATAAATCCCAAAAACAAAATTTATATTAATTGAGTGCCTTAATTTTAGTTTGTAGTTGAACCAGTGGTAGGTATAGTTCGGTCGAGTGCCTAAAAGAAAGTGAGGCAAAATACGGTCATCCCTGAGATAAAGTCAAATTAAAAAAAAAAAAAAAAGAAATCTTCATTCTTCCGCAATTACAATTATACCCTCCCTTCAATTGTTTTTAACATTGTTCAGTTTAAACTTGCAAGGAACAGGTGACTTGTTATAATTCTTTTAGTGTGAGGTCACATAAAATATATTGTGTATATATATGGGTCTTTCTAGGGTGAGACCATCTGTGTTCTAAATTTATATGAGATATGTATTAATCACCATTAATTTTCTAAGATTAAATCTAGACCCTAGGAAAATAACATGGCCTATGTTCTAAAAAATGAAGTATTTTACCAAATTATCCTTCGATTATTTTTTTTATTAAATTAATATAAAATTGATTAACATTGAATTGTCTAATTTACCCCCTACTATATTTTAATTAAGTAATTAATTTAAATTCATTTTGACCGAGTTTTATTTGATAAATAATCGAAAAAATGCATTCATGTTTAGGGATAGAACTTGGGACATCTTAATACATTCACCGCTCCTAACCATCCAAGCACATTAACTTATTATAATATATTTAACCATAATTGTATAAATACTGTTAATTAAAATATTAATTGCAACATTCATTATTATTAAATGATATTAAATAAATTATTAACAAATTTAATATAATAAAGTTTGAAAAATATAAAGAATTGCAGTTCAATACGCCAAACATCTATCATTAATTATATAATATTAGAATTATTAATAAACTCCACCATTTAAAAATGTAAAGAATGCTCAATTAAATATAAAAAAATGCATAACTTAATTCAAACTCACTTATGTTATTAAATCGATAGTGTGACAAATCCAAATAAAAAATAATAATATGCTTATTTAGAAGAAGAAAAATTTATAACTCATTCCAATTATTAGTTTTCTCACTTTAAAATAAAATTATATACAAAAATACTATATTGTGAATTTTCTTTTAATATTTAATTTAATCAAATAGTAAGATTTGAATCGATTAAGTTCAAATCCTTTCAATTAGTAAACATTATTCAAATATTTGAATCGGTTGCTTAACTATTGACATAACGTGTTACATAATTGATTTAACTATTTATAAGTAATGTCTAATATCTTTTTGATTTAATTTTGTCATAAAAAATAATAAATTTAATTCCTAACACATGTAAGAATCTAATCGTAAATCGTAATATTTATCAAAGCGTAATATTTTAACCAATTAAGCTCAAGTCATTTCAATTTGTAAACATTATTCAAATATTTGAATCGATTAATTAGCGCGCTCAACTATTGACAAGAACGTCTTAATCAAATTAACTATTATTAATTAAAGTGTAATACATTTTTAATTCAATTTTATCATAAAAAAATAATTCCTAAATTACGTAAGAATCAAATCATAAGATTAATTAAAGCGTATGATTTGAATCAATTAAGCGCAAATCCTTTTAATTTGTAAATATTATTCAAAAATTTGAATCGATTAAGTTCAACCACTGACAAGAACGTATTAATCGAGTTAACTATTTATAATTAAAGTCTACTATCCTTTTAATTCAATTGTAACAAAAAAATAATAATTTAATTCGTAAAATCGTAAGAATCAAATCGTAAATCGTAAGAATCAAATCGTAAATCGTAAGATTTAATCTAACCATAAACCGATTAAATCTTACGATTTTCACGAATTAAATTTTATTATTTTTTATGATAAAATTCAATAAAAAAGATACTAAACTTTAACTATACATAGTTTGATTAATACGCTATTGTAAATTATTGAGTTTAACCGATTCAAATATTTGAATATTGTCTACGAATTGAAATGAGTTGAGCTTAATCGATCAAATCTTTGAATATTGTTTTTGAATTGAAAACACATGAGTTTAATTGATTCAAATATTACGATTTAATTAAATCTTACAATTTACGATTCAATTCAAACTTCAAATTCTTTCGAAATTCATTTTAAATTACACGAGTTGACCAGCATTTCCTTAGATTTTAAAAATATATTATATAAAGATTTGTTAGTATGGGATATTATTAATATATAATAATAATTATATGAGAATTAATAATTTATTTAACATTATTTATATAAGTTTTATAACCATTATAAATTGTAACTTTGTGATATATATCCGTATTGTTAGTTTATTGTCAATTATGTGTTGTGTCTTAATGGTAAGTATTCTTGTATATTTTCAGATGGTCACAAATTTGAATTCAGGTTGATGTAATTTTGGATGAGTGGTTTAATGATTTTTATGAATAATGATATAATTGACTTTATAAATTTTAATTCAGCAATAAATATAGATTTTAATGATATATATATATTTGGCTGAAAGTGTAACCATTGAAACTTAGGCACGTCATTTCTTGGCGTAACTGAAATGATGTGATTGCCTTGTAAAGAATTGTTTGCGTAACTTTTTTCTTTTTATTTGTTATAAAATTACTTCAAACAGGCTTTTGATGCATATATAATTGTGGTTTTTCTAGTTTTTATTTCAAATTTTTTGAATATTTATTTGTTCAACATGGCTGCAAGAAATTCACCATACTCGTACAAACTCCAGACTCTAGTCACTCTGCTTTGCCGGTACAAGGTTATATCAGGCGGTTCATGGCGGAGCCACCAGATCCACCACCGCGATCTGCCGCCATCGTATAGGATGGGATGCGGCGGCGGTTCGGTTGATCAAGGGCTAAGGTCTCTAAGTGTCACCTCCAGAAAATATAGCCAACCCAAGTTGGGAATGTATATATAATAATTATATTCTTGAATATTAATATATACTTTGTTTATAATTAATATTAATTGTTACATATGTTTTTTTGCTGATAAAAGTAAGCTGCATTTCTTGAAGGGAAAGGGGTCAAATTGAAGAGGTACAAGTACAACCAGCATTAACATCTCCTCTCAAGTTTGACTTCTCCAATTGGTACCAATTTCTTTCAAAATTATCCTTCAAATTTGGTCTATTTTTTTTTCTTAATCATTTATTGTCAAAATTATAAAAACACTCTTAAAGCGTAGCACATAATTTTGAACTTCGAACATGATTTTGACAATTTTTCGAGTTTGAATTTGACAAACTTCAAACACGGAATTTGTAATTCTTTGAGTTAGCTTTCTAATCAAACTTAAACCATCGGGATTGGATATTGGCTGAGAAAGATATACGTGAATGAGTGAACACTGTCCCACAACTTTTTACTTTTTTGAGTTAATCGAAAATTAAAAAAGGTAATTTATTCATGCATAACTTTTTTATCCAACATTCGAATCTAACTGATCGAAGTTTGATTTGAAAGCTAACTCAAAATAATATTGTTTCCGTGTTTTGAATTTCGCTAAAATCAGACTAAAAAATGGTCAAATCACATTCGAAGTCAAAATGGTATTAGTACAATTGAAACGTCGTCTGGAAATGTTTTTGTAACTTTCTTTTTACACCCCTTTATTTTCAATTTTCGTCAAGTTTCGCCCGACTAATTTCGTAATTAATCAAAATGTGGCATAAATTAAATGTGTTTACTACAGGGTGAAATGGTTTCTAGGATCTATGCTATCTTTTCTGCTACCATTTTGGAAGAACAAATGGGACAACTTGCTAACTTTTGAAGGTAATAATAATAAATAAAAACATCTTTTGAAAGATATTCGAGAATTGACGAGGGTTGTTATATTATGCTGCAGGGAAGGCTGAAAGAGTGGTGGAAGAGGTGGAAGCCGCGGCGCAAGTGGTGGAGAAGGTGGCGACCACCGCGGATAATGCACTGATGGAGGTGGCGAATCAATTTCCCGATGGCAGTAAACTAAAAGAAGCAGCTCAATTAATGGAACATGCATCTGCTGTAGCTGCTCAAGATGCTCAATTAATTGAAAACATAATCCACAAGGTAATTAATTTATATTTATTTCTAGTTTTCATTTATTTCATTTAATTGTATTATTATTTATTAAATAAGTTTATGTTTTACAGTAGCTGTTATTTTTGTTATGGTAACAGGCTGGTGATGTTAAGCAAGATTTGCAGGAACTAGAAACCATGGTTGAGCCAATTGTTGACAAAATCATACGAGGAAATAAAATCCCCAGCAAATTAGTATAAATAACAAAATTAATTATATAATATATATTTATATATCTATCATAAATTAAATGTAAATGGTATGTAAAAATTCATAATTACTAGTTAACTAAATTTGTTTTAAATAAATATATTGGTAAATGCTTTTCCACAGTGTTTAAACCATTCATACGAAGCAAATTAATCTCAATCTACAGTATTATCCAAGTGATTAATAATTGATAACAGTTGATTAAAAAAGAAATTAACACATTAACAAAAAATAAATAATTAAAACATAATTATATAAACTCAAAAAGAATAGATCAAGCTAAATACATAGGAATAAATATCGAGTCTCCAATAAACAGAGGATAAATAGAAAAAAATTAAAAACTCAACGTGAAAATATGAATGGAAATGAGAATATCCGAGGGTTTACGCCACCAGAGCCACGGCGAGGAAACCAGCGGCGGCAGCTGCAAAACCTAATCTATCAGTAACGGCGGCGTTAGGAGCGGGCGCTGGAGCGGGACCGCCGGTCGGAGGAGAGGAGATTGACGGAGAGGGGGATGGAGAGGGGGTTGACGGCGGCGGAGATGGCGGCGACAGTTTGGCGACGGGAGAAGGAGACGGAGATGTGGATCGGCTAGGAGTCGGCGGCTTTGACTTCGGGGAAGGTGCTGGTGCGACGGGGGAAGGGGACGGAGCGGCGGAGGGGGACTGAGCGACGGCGGAAACAACCAGAAGTGTCACCATCAGCAGAGTGAAAACCCTAGAAACGGCCATTGGAGTAGCTTCAACAGAACGCGGAATGAGAATCGGAAAAATCGGAAAAGGCTGAAAAGAAAGATTAGAGAGAGAAACTGAAGAGATTTAGAGAGAGAAGATCTTTAGTTGCACGGAAAGGGTGTGTGTGGTTATATGGCATATTTATAGGAAGGGGAGAAGCGTTGCGTGAGGTGTGGGATTTTTAAAAACAATGTGACCGTTGGATTGAAATCTGGGTGGCTATGGACATTGGACGGTGGAGATGTGACGAAAGGTTTAATTTTTTTAGTATTTGCGTGGGAATGTGTTTCCTAGTACGGAAAAACGCGTATGAATAGGAGTAACACTTTTGCCTAGTAAAAAAAAAAAAATAATCTTTCTTAAATCTCCTTTTTTATTTATTTAATTGAATTCCATTTGATATACTCAATTTATAATAAAATTATAACTTTTAAAATTTAAAAAAGGGGAATATAACAGTTTTTGTCCCTCAAGTTTCCACCGATTTCACATTTCGTCCTCCATGTTCAGAAAAAACACATCTGGTAATGTTTCAATAATTTAACGCTTCTGCTAATTTTCGTCAATTTACCGTTAGTCCGTCAGTTAAGGCAACGATGGGCACACGCTTGATTCCGTTAGTTTTAACATAAATTTAAAGGAATGGACTAAAAATGTTGAATTTAAGAAGTATGAAGGACCAAATATGTAATCAGTGCAAATTTGAAAGGATCAAAATTTGATTTTTCCTTCTAAAAAGGTTGCGTTCTTTTCTTATCGATCTTCTATACTTGGGCCTTGTTTGGTTGAGAAAATTAGTTATTATTAACTAAATAATTGAATTTTATTTGATGTTTGGATTATTTAAATAACTTATCAGGTCGACCCACAAATTTTGTACTATTATGGCTTATTTTGCCGTTTAGAGAGTTATTCTTTTTTGACGTCCCGAAGTCCAATAAAATAATTTGGTTTTGATTGGATTATTTAATTTTATCTTGATTAATCTTATCCTGACAACCAAACAAGACCATAATAATTAGAAGCGTCTTAGTTTAGCAAAACAACTTTTTTTGGGTTAAAAAAGAAAATTTTAATGAAAAATAAAGTAGTACCAATTCTAGTATTTTAATATCTACAAGGCAATGAATGCATCAAAGCAAACGTTTGTACAAATTGGAAAATCAAATGCCCTTGTTATTAAAACAAAGTATGATGAATCAACACGCAAATCAACTTAACAAGTAATTTACCATTACTACTTGGAGTATTACATTTAATGACTATGATTGACTAACCACTGGCCCGGCCCAGCCCATTAAATAGTATTCAGCTCATAACAGAATCAGCAAACTTTATCGAACATCATCTCACCGTACACGTGTACCAATAACTATTTACTCCGCACACATCCTCGTATAAACATGTATGACTGCGTGTAGATTTATGTTACAAAACGATCTGATGTATTTTCAATATATATGTCGACTTCGAACGTGATTTTGATCCACAGTCGAATTTATTAATTCTTGAATTTATATAAATTGAATAAGACGACTGTCTAAACATAGAACAAACGAATTATTTTGTCTTATATTACATTTAACTCTCCCTATCCCTTAGCAAAAACAAAGAATCAAGAATAATCGAACGAATAATAAACACCTAAACTGCGTCCCGTTTCAAGAATCATAATGATCCAGATTTTATTATTTTCCGGGTCAAGTACTTACGACCCGGATGTAAGCGGGCCCTCGCCACCTGTCCTACCGTTTCCGATAATAGCTGGATTTCCGTTCGCATCTAATCCATAAACGTGTCCCATTTTGGATCGTTTAGTTTCCAGATATCTCTTGTTATCTTTAGTGATGGGAGTGACAAGTGGAACCCTACCCGAAACTGCCAAACCGTAACCCTTTAGCCCAATGTACTTTGCAGGATTGTTCGTCATCAACTTCATTGTCCTAACTCCAAGATCTCCCAATATCTGCAGAAAACAAATTTACATAACCGAGGGTATTAATTTATCGAGTATTTAAATAAAATGAGGTTCTATTTTATGTATACATGAATTAGGGTGGAAATCAGGCGATTCGAATCGGAATTAGCACTTGTGAAAAACTAATTCTACTTCTGTTCCCAAAAAAAAAAAAAAAAAAAAAAAAAAAATTGGAAATCGGAAGTTTGTAAATTGGAATGAATCGGATTAGAATTGGCGGAATTCGAAAATTTCCAATTTTTAAGTAACCTAAAAACTAAAATATAATTTTTTTGAAAAAAATCGGAATTTTTGAAACTAAAATCAAATCATATATGTATCCCAATTCCGGTAAAAACAAAATCGAAAAACTCAGAAACCGGAATTTTCGATCTTCGGGAAAAAAATTGTTTCAAAAAAAAATTCGGATCAGAATCAACGGAAATCGAAAACTTTGGTTCCAATTTCCATCCCTCAATTAGCGAATGTTTGAAATGTGAGGGTGCTCCTAGTAATTTCATGCGATATTCGACCTGGCAATAGTGAAATTACCTGTGCACCAATCCCGTACTCTCGTGAATCTACAGGCAAGCCCAACTCCTCGTTCGCCTCCACAGTGTCACGTCCATCGTCTTGCAAATTATAAGCCCGAAGCTTATGGCCCAAACCGATTCCCCTTCCCTCATGACCACGCAAATAGACCAAAACGCCCTTGCCAGCAGCCTCGATCTGCTGCATTGCGAGCGCCAGCTGGGTCCCACAGTCACATCTCGCAGACCCAAATATGTCTCCCGTGAGACACTCCGAGTGCACTCTCACGAGAATATCTTGTCCATCGCCGATTTCTCCCTGTACAAATATATAAACGTTTTAGAAAATGAAATTAATAATTTTGCTCTAGAGCGGAAAAAGATGCCACAAAAGAAAATTAGTTACTCACCTTAACCATTGCAATATGTTCGATTCCGTCCAAAATCGACCTATAGCAATGCGCGGTGAATGGGCCCCACATAGTTGGTATACGAGCTGCAGATGCATGTTCAACCAATCTATCTCTCTTTCTTCTATATCTGCAAATGAAGGCACATATATTAGATGAGTCGGAGGAATTTAAAGCAAGAAATTTACTCGAAAAACTCAACTAAATATTGTCCTAATGTAAAAAGGATATATGTCGTTTCAATTTTAATAAATACCGTTTTGACTTCAAACGTGATTTTGACCATTTTCGGGTCTGAATTTGGCAAAACTCAGAACATGATTTTTTTAGTTATTTGAGTTAACTTTCTAATCCAACTTGAATCACCATGATTGGATATCGAGTGAGAAAGATATGCATGAATCAACGAACACTGCCTACAACTTTGATGTTTTGAGTCATTTAAAATTCAAAATACAACTCATTCATACATAACTTTATCACCCGACATCCAATCTAGCTAATTCAAGTTGGATTAGAAACCAAACTCAAAGGACTAACTTGTACGTGTTTTGAATTTTGACAAAATTACACAAGAAAATGGGTCAAAATCACGTCCTAAGTCAAAAGTAGAGTGGCATTTTACTAAAAGAACATGGTTATCTTACCTTATTAAATCGGCAATAGATACAACTTTCAAGTTTTCTTGCTTCGCAAATTCCCGAAGCCTAGGTAGTCGAGCCATAGAACCATCATCATCAACAATCTCACATAAGACTCCGGCAGGGCCCAGCCCTGCCAGCATGGCAAGATCCACAGCCGCTTCGGTGTGTCCAGCTCGTTTTAGAACACCGCCCTCTCTGTACTTCAACGGAAATATATGTCCCGGACGGTTAAAATCCTCAGGCTTCGAATCTTTCGATGCAAGAGCCAATATTGTAGTCGCCCTATCACGTGCTGACACACCCGTAGTTGTACCGTGTTTTGCATCCTACAAAAAAAATTATTTTATTTTCAAAATTATACAAGTTAAAAGATCGATTCTTGATTACAGAAAGGGTCACAAAAGAACACTTCTATTGTTAAGATTTTTTTTTTAAATAATACACATTACAAGATCAATTCTTGATTGCAGAACGGGTTTCGAAAGAACGCTTCTCTTGTAAAGATTGTTCTTTTTATAATGTATCAAATTTCAAATTGACTTGTTCGAATAACTCACCACCGAAACGGTGAACGCAGTACTAAGCTTCTCCTCGTTTTCCTTATGGTTCACCATCAAGGGCAAATGCAGCCTCTCCAAATCTTCCTCTTTCATGCTAACACAAACGATCCCAGTTCCATGCTTCACGAAGAAAGCCATAGCCTCAGGCGTAACTTTCGATGCAGCCATAATAAGATCCCCTTCGTTTTCTCTATCCTCGTCATCCACAACTACCACCATCTACAAAACGTAATTCCAAAAAAAAAACGGGGGAATAAGAAAACTATTTTTAGCAACCCTTTTAAAATATCACGAGATCAATGTAGAAAAGAACAAACCTTTCCTTGTCGAATGTCTTCAACGGCCTCCGAAATAAAAGAGAAACCTACCGAGGGCAAGTCCAAGTCAAATTTATCGTTCTCGAGAGAGAAGCCGCTTGTTGTGGGGCCCATATCAGCTGATAGTGTTCCTAGTACTTCGATCCCGCCAGATACATCACTGACAAGGGCATTATTGGAAACTTTCGAACCAGAAGAATGAGTGTCTTCGGCGGAGAATAGAGCCGAGCTAATTTTGCTATTCGCCTTGATGGTTAAGCCTACTTTAGTACTCGGTTGTTTGAGGGATTCTACACCGTTTACGTATTGCGTATTTCCATAACGGAGACCGTTGAGCAGTCTGAAATTTTCCAGAGAAATTAAGATACAGATTTAGAACGAAAAGACTCGGCCATTTCTACGCAATTTTTTTCGAAAATCAAACACGTACACAAGCACGTAATCGCAACTGTCAAACATCAAACAAGGAATTCTGTATATTATTTTTTTTCTATCTCTGCCTAATTCTAATTCTGCAAAGGAAAACCAACAAACTGGCACAAGACTCGACTGCGAGGGGGTAAACGAATTCGCCGTATATTTCTTCGAAACCGGGATCAAGGAAAACGGAAAACCCCTTGTAGTGAAACAATCAAAGATCAAGTAACACAATAATCTTCAAGAATCAATCCATATATACAGTAATCACACAATGACACATGTGCACAACAAATACAAAAATATTCTTTGGATCAAAACAAAGTGAACCAACTTCCGCTAAATTCTTTTCGATGATTGCAAAACAAAAATTCAAGCTTTAAATTACAAAACCAACCAACCCAAATAAAACACAATTCAGCCAAATAAAAAAAACTGCGAATTAATACAACCAAATAATGATAAAGACTGCATCTTTATTCAGAGAAAGAAAGAGAGAAGCTAACCTAGAGCGAGCAAGGGAAGTTGAGGAGCAAGAAAAATTAATGGACGCCATTAATTTTACAAATCTGGAGGACCCAAGTGAAAAGAATCAAGAAATATTTGCCCCTGCGGATGCAAATAGAAGAAGAGTGCAGAAACGTTGGGGATGAAGGTAAAATGGATGGATGGGTGGGTGATATTATATATTGATTGGGGGGTGAGCAGCCAATTGGGGGTTTGGTGAGGTCAAACTACTTTTCTTGAGAAAAAGGAAAGAAATTTTAGATTGAATTCTTTAAATAATTTGGATAATTTCGAACCTTTTCGAAGATTCTTTGTTTGAGATTTGTTCCATTTTCATTGCTATTGGTAGATGACAAACTTGTGTTGTTCGAGAAGACAGAAAGAATTACAATTGTAGCCAAAATTTTATTTAGGTTAAAAGTTTAGAAAATTTGATGAAGGTCCTTAATAATAAAATTATATTTGTTATAAGGACTTCCCTTTTTTTTTTTAATACAGTTACTAAACCTCTATAAGTTAATATAGTCGAGGCTAACAAAATTATATTAATTTAGTGAAATATTAAATTATTGAACTAATAGTTTAGTATTTTTTTTCACTAATTCGGGATCAGAAGAAATTATTATTTAAGCGATGTTATTAATTTATCGAGGTAGTAATGTAATTTTCTTAGTTTTGAGATAATAGTTAAGTTCTTGAACGAGAGCTTAATTAGCCGATCGCAACCTGCAAATTTCAAAGTAGTACTTTTTGTTGAGGGGGTTTTAGCAAGTATAAAAAATGGTGTCTTTAAACAAAAAGTGATATGGGACTTCTGAAAGAATATCCCTAAAACGTTTCGAACCTGATAAATGCGGTTTATAGTAACTTTCTGGTGCCAATCGACGATCAACAACTGCCAGTTCACAATTGCAACTACATTGCACCGTAACCAACTCGTATTACAAGGGTCGGTTTTACGGGTCATAAGTCGACAAATAACCGGTATGTGGTCATCATGCCTAGGTGTCATACATGATACTCCATTATCATGTAAAAGTGAAAAGGGTATATTGGGTAATTGTGATGAGATTTATATTTAAAAGTGTATATCCCACCATACGTACATACATTGTGGGTCACCTAAGATGAATGCAACGCATGTGAGAATAGACTGAATAGTTGTGGTGAGTGGTGACTACTGCTGGTTATGAATCATGATAGAGTGGGCATCAAATATTTAATTAATTAATTAATAAATAAATAAATAAATAAAAATCCAAGGCATGGGAAAACAAGGTGCTGAAAATTTTGTAGGAATGGGACCAAGATTTGGTATCGACCAACCAAACCGTGACACGTCAGATAATACAGAAATAGTAAAAAGGGAATATTGAATAAATACTTTCATCGCTGCCCATACTTGACCGTTAGATCTGACTTGTCCGCCGCCCCCCGCCCCCGCCCCCGTGTCTTTTCCAAGTCATTTCCTCGTTTTCGTTGCGCAACAAGCAAGTGAAGGTTTTTTTTTTTATTTTTTTTTCTTTTTTAATTAATTAATTTATTATTTTTTAATGAAAATGAAATATGGGTTGTGGATATTTTTTGCCATCTATTATTACCCTTGCAAGGCCTGATTTGCCACCTAATCGGTTAGCCATTCACTCGTTTTGGCATGTACGACGACGTTACCCACAAGGATTGCCCATCGACCCATGTCATATTCATCATTTACCGATTATCCAATCTGGCCACGCATTCCCCAATGCCGGTCAAGACATGATAATAGCCATCGCATTTCAACCAAACAACCCTAATTTCCACGGGGCTCGTGTGACTTTCTTGTGCCGAATCCCATATCGACACAATTCTTGACCTATGACACTTTTTTAAGGAGTAACAATTATCCATTAGGGATGTTTGATTTATTAGACATTTTTTTTTTTGACTAGTTACAAATAAAATAATAAGGGAGTAACACGATTTGAACAATTCTATATTATTATTTACACTAATAATTATAGTCAAATGTCAACTCTTGTGATGAGAAACAAGATGCTTTCTAAAAAGACATGCTATTATTAGTATTTAGCATTATTAATAATAATAATGATGTCTGCAAATTTGCTTACCAAATGTTAATGTTTGACTCTAATGACATGGACTAGAAAAGTTTCATATAACAACTTGACAAGAAATATAAATATAAATCAATTTCTTTATATATATATATATATATATATATATATATATATATATATATATATATATATATATATATATATATATATATATATCCAAGGGGGGCTGCCAAGAAACTCAATAATGCATTTCTTACTTTGTTTGTTCCAAGAATATTTTATTTTGTATTTCTTGATCAAAACTCTGGCAACAAAAATCGTTAGGGCTCGACGAATTCCGACAAAGAACTCAAACTAAGTCGTCAGCTGAAACTTCAATATTTCCAAAAATACCCTTCTCTCGGTTCCGAGTATCACAGACGAAAAAAAAAATTTAAAAAAAAAAAAAAAAAGACTTACATTCGAAACTAGTACAGCCCCAAAAACTTCCACCAGAACGATCCAACAACTACCCATATAACAGCATTAACAATTGCCATGATGAATCCATACTTGAACACGTCCGGTAGATCTACATAACCAGCTGTTTTCAAAGTCGAGAAAAAAAAAAAAAAACTAGTCAGTAAAATATTCAAGAAAATATCAAATCTCTGGAGGGCCTGAGCAATTTTCTCCAAGAATTTTTTGAAGGGTAAAATCGTCATTTAAGCATGTAGAGAGAGAGAGAGTTAAATAGTCGTACCTCCGAAATAAACAGCAGCCTGACCACTGCTATAATGCGTGAGAGCACCGAATAAATTAGTATTATAAGCAAGCGCCAACGCCGCCAGCACACCCGGCACTCCAGATGCTATATTCATTGCCAGAAACGCCGAGTACAGCGCACCGACATGGCCCGTTTGGCTGGCAAACAGGTAGTGTATAGAGAAATAAGCCGCTTGCAGAAGGGCAAAAGCGGCAGGCCAGCTCAGCGACAGCGACTGCAGCAACTTGGCAACACCGTTGGACATCCAGCTCACAATTCCGAGGCTGGTCAACTGACCAGCCATGCCGACTAGAACTGCAAACCATGCCAAAGTATCCCATGCGGATTTTTCACTCAAGCAGTCGTCCCAGTCGAGCACTCCCAATAGTAAGAGTATCGATAAACCGAGCATTGCAGCTACAACACTTGCAATTCCGAGAGCATCTCTGTTGGAATATTCTCTCTTATTATCAGGCTCAAAATTGTGAATGATAATCTATGAACATGCATTATTTCATATATGATGGAAAAGATGAAACAAGAAAAGTGGACATCGTTTTACTAAAGGTGGTATTTGCGAAAGCTTTTATATAAGCAGAAGTAAGTGATTATGAGATAAGTATAGAATAAATTATTATTTCTAAAAGTTTGTAAATACTATGAAAAATCAAGTAGCTTTATTATGTTACAAAAGTGCTTTAAAATTGGAGAAGCAGACGGGTTACGGCTTAAACCAACTTATTTTAAGAGAATCAAAAGCAAAAGCAACAGTTGGTAGAAGTAGACTTACCCGAAAACCCATAAAGAAACTGCAAGAAGCATAGTACCGATCATAACCCATTCGTTTTTCGTGACGGGGCCCATAAGTTCCAGTTTCTTTGCAGCCATAGCAGGCGCCTCGGGTGTATCTTTCGTCTCGGGTGGGTATAGCTTGTACAAGATGAATGGCGTAGCTAGAAGAGAAACAAACGCAGGCAAACTTGCAGCCTTGAACCAAGAAACCCATGGGTTTGCAATTACAACTCCAAGTTCTTCGGCTAGCTTGAGGCAGAGAAGATTTTGAGCTGCAGCAGTTAGAAAAAGAGCACTCGAGTTACCAGCCGACTGTAGCACATCAAAAACAGCCATGCATTAGATAATGTATCGACAAAGAAAATTAATTTCGATAATTTGATGCGTTTTTGTTATTATCGATGTAAAAACTCGAACGATGCTAAATGGACTTGAAAATCGTATTAGTTTTTATCATCTCTCGATCTCAAAATCAATGCAAAATCGAACTTGCAGTATCAAATTTTAAAACTAATTCCAATATTACAAAGCTGAAACGAGAGATGCTTCGAGCTAAATCTTTCTCACAACGAACGATTGAATCACGTAATAAACGAACTGATGCAATTACAACACAGTTATGATCCCACCACAAAATAAATGTAGAATCAATTAAGGGAGTCAAACCGAAAAACGGAAAAACTAATCATTAAAACTTGATCATCACACACACACACACACACACACACACACACACACACACACACACACACACAAGTTGCAGAATTCTACATCAAAGACATGTTAGCATAAGCAATTCGAAGAATTAACAGATAAAGAAATTCAATCTAGGTAAAGCTTAGTAGCAAACGAACCTGAAATTGGGATTGGATTAAAAAGGAGCCGAGCTTTTTCTTGGATGGATCATTGGGCTTACTCCCAGCAGACAAGGACAAGGACTTGATAATCGGCAAAAACACGCCGCCTGCCCTAGCGGTGGTGCTCGGCATTGCCGGAGCAATCAACGCCTCGCTCAAAGTCAACCCGTACGATAATCCGAGAGTGCTCTTACCCAGCCACTTGACGAAATAGGTGGCGATTCTGTCACCCAAGCCGGTCTTCACGAAACCCCGGGCAAAGAAGAAGGAGATGACGATGAGCCAGATGACCTCGTTCGTGAAGGCGGAGAAGGCGGCGGCGAAGGTGAGTGTTTTGGTGAGGACCGCGGTGGTGAGGCCGAGGAACGCCCACGCGCCGACGGGGAGGGGGCTGAGGACGAGGCCGGCGATGGTGGAGAGGAAAATGGAGAGCAGTTGCCACGCTTGTGGGGTTACTTCGACGGGTTTGGGAACGAAGAAGCGGACGGCGATTCCGATGGCGAGTGAGATGATTAAGGGGACGAGTTTGGCGCCTTGTAGAGGAGGAGGAGGAGGGGATGTGGTGATTGATTCAGATGGGGCGGGGATATCGGCGGCGGCGGCGGAGGCGGAGATGGTGGTGATGAGTTTCTTATGGGTTTTGGGGATGGGGTTGAAGAGGGAGAGATTGGTGGGACGGTGGAGGAATGAAAGTGCTGCGGCGGTGGGGGTGGTGGTGGAGAGAGAATTGAGGGGGCGGAGACGGGTGGAGGAAATGGAGGGGCGGGAGCGGAGGGTGAAGGAGGTAATGGTGGTGGAGGTAGAGTAGATGGCGGCGCTCTCCATTGTTGGAGAATTGAGATCAGAAGTGATTGGGGTTTTAGTGTGTGTAGTGTGTGTGAGAGAATTTAGGCGGAGGAGGAGAGAGGAGAGAGGAGGCGGAGACTACAAACAAAGGCCGCTCCACCACAGACGGTAGTGGAGCTTTTCTTCCGTTTGATGAGGTGTATATTTAACACCTTCCATTTTTATTTTATTTCTTTTTTTTCTTTTTTTTTTTTACTTATTTATTTATTTTATCTTTTCTTTTACTATTAAATAACTATATGATGATAGGTTGCTCTTTCTTCTCATTTTCGTTCATGTTTGTTTTACACTATGCTTCAAAAATTGGACAAATTAAGGTCACCTCATGGAGGTAACGTCAAATTACGAAAAAAAAATTTCAAGTTTGGGTAATTATAATCATACTTCAGCTATATATTATCTTATGAAAAAACAATTAATAAATAAATTTAACACTACAAGAATCGACGTGTAAGAAAATACATAATTGAGATGGTGATTATAATTACCTAATAAAAGATTCTTTTTGATAATTTGACTTTACTTTAGGGTTGGACGTAAATTTGGCCATGTATATATTATATATATATGATACATTGGATGAATCATAATCTTTCTATTGAACTATGCTCCGATTGAAACAGAAAGGTAGGATAATTATTAAATACAAACAAACAATCACATAGTTAGATACAATTTATAGAGTTTATATATGTATAATTGAGCAAAAATTAGATAATTGGTCATGCCAAATTTGTCACACATGATTTATATATATATATATATACTTAAAATATATATATATATATATATATATATATATATATATATATATATATATATATATATATATATATATATAGAGAGAGAGAGAGAGAGAGAGAGAGAGAGGCCTATATGTATGTACAAGATATAGATATAGTTCATATTTTGAGAAGCATTATTAGTTTGCTTGAAAAACAAAATGAAGGATGTAGAGTAATATGAGAGTACGTAGAGATCATTAATTTACAATTTGCTAAGTTTTACTATAATCTAAAGTGTGAAAACATGTCTGAAGAGAGGTATTTATACAAAGAATTCACCTCTCGTCGATATTTATATCCGGAAAATCATCGATGCAGCTCAGTTTATCGAGGATCAGCCTCTCTTGCTTCGCATCTACAGCAGTTTCAGTCAGGAATAACAAAAAAAACTCAAAGCAAAATAAATCCTCGGTAAAAACATCAAGAACTGAATCGGAATCGATTTTTCAATACCCGAATACATCATCATTAATTGATTTTTTTTCTTATGAAAGTAGATAAAAAGGTGAAAAAGGATACATTCGTGATCAGGGTTGTCGGTGAAATTGGAGTGCAATGCATTTCCAACACTGTCGACTATTGCTGAAGTAGTCATGGATGACTCGATACATAATATCGCAGCTATTGCATCCAACCGAGTCACCTCGTTTCTGAACATCAGTCTTGCATGTGCTATACCAAAGTTTTCCGACAAATTTAAGGAATAACAAAGAAAGAAAATGTTTTGGAAAGTGAGGGTATTTCGGGTAATCTAATCTACCTTGAGCGAGGCGTATCAAACTTTCCAGCATGCGAACAGTAGTCCTTGCTGTCAAAACATTTTTTCTTTAAACAAATAAACATATATAACTATAATGCTGTTAAGTAAGTTTTGCGGTTGTATATATATAACCTGCATTATGAGTGGCCGATCGTCTTTGGAGCTGATAATAGCTCGATATAACCTTTTCAGCCTCCTTTGTGAGGATTGGTCTGAAATACCCTTTCACAAAATGAATATACCTGCAAGTGAAGTCTCTATTATCATGTTATTTGATTGCTCTTCTCGAAGTTCGAAAAAATAAATTACTACTGTCGTAAGAAAACGGAGAAAATGAAATATAAAAAAAAAAAAAAAAAAAAACAATCGTGTTATTTATAAGTATCTTACCTTCTAAGCATGGTAAGAGACCAAATGTCGGGTAAACTTTCATCGTTGCTCCCTTTGCTCTGTTCTGCCTGAAATAAAGTTCAGTGGAATATACAATTTGTAGTAGTCGTTTTATTATACAAAGAAAATGAGGGCCATAATTAACAATCTTGCAATTATTACCTCGGAAAGAATGTGAGACGAAACAACTTCATCCCATTGCGGATTCTTTGTGTCTAATAGGACAAGAACTATATCGAATCTGCTCAATAAAGGTCCGGAAAGCGTAGTATTTACAGACAAAGCTAGCACGTGTTAAAGAATGATGTAGAGAATCCATCCAGCAATTTGTCTCGTATAAACTATTAGGTTCGACTTATAAGGATACGTTGATCTGGGTCGTATTGTCCCTTTGGATTTGTTGCACCGAAAACGATTGTTCTTGTGCTGAGAGTTGTTACAAGACCAGCCTGAATCAAGGTTAAAAGCAGAAATTATTGAACTTTTAATATAAAGTTCTAAGATTAAAACCAATTGAATCGATATAATATGATCGAATTCTAGGCAGAAAGCTGCGGTGATTTGAATTAGGTATACCTTGGCTACACTAATCGTTTGCTGTTCCATTGCTTCGTGTATAGTTGCTCTATCATGTTCCTTCATACTATCACGATAAATGTTAGTGTTCGATTTCCGAAATTGATGCAAATTTTGTAGGGTTTACCTATCAAATTCATCTATACAACAAAGACCTCCATCTGCCAATACTAGCGCCCCAGCTTCCAGCACCCATTCCCCTGAGAGTAATAAAAAAACAAAATTATGAGTAAATTGACATTCTCGAAAAAGTCGGTGATTTGATGTTTTACACTGACAAATACAAAAAAAAAAAAAAACGAAAAGAAACAGATATACGTGTTAGCAGTACCTCCATCCTTGACTGCAGTAACAGTCAGTCCAGCACTAGTGCTCCCTAATCCAGTCGTAATTACAGATCTGTTGCTCAATTTGGCAGCAAACTTCAGAAACTGAGACTTTCCGGTGCCTAGTCAGATAAAATATATTAATACATCTCTAAGACTCCAGATTATTAACCTTCTTCGAAACGTAATAATTGCATGCTAAAACATAAGTTTGCATATTACCAGGATCACCAACTAAAAGCAGATGAGACTCGCCTCGGACTTTTGTTCCAGAAGCATCGATATGTTGAACACCTCCAATAAGTGTTAGCGCAACTAAATGGAAAAAAAAAAAAAAAAAAAAAAAAACTCGTCACTGCATGAATTCTTTATTACTTATTGACAAAGCCATTAAAATTAGTCATTTTAATGAAAGAATAAGTGTGAAGTCTCGTCACCTGCAAGTTTGACAGTGAAGAGCCCAAAAACCTGTGGGCAGATAGCTCGAAGAATGGCATTTCGACCTAAAACATTAGTAACATATACATCACTGGCTGAAGTTAACTATTGTGTAGGTTATTATTATTTATTACGACTATACGATAATACGACTATAAGAATCTTTTTACCTTTCAATGGGGTATCTTCGAAATCTGACCAGAACTGTTTGAATTGCATAATAATGTTGTCAGGTATATCGATATCTGACTTCACCTCATTCATCCTCCTAAAAAGAAAGTAATTAAAGTAGAAAAAGTTACCAAACTTTCGGAAAGGTTCGATTTTCGAGTTGAAGTGAATAACTCACGACTTGTTACACTACCTCACGTAATTAGCAATTAATACAGGTTCGAGGTCACAGCGCACATCCTTCATATCTGAGGACCACTTAGCCGTCAAAACTCCAGTAACGATCACATCATCTGAAAGGAAAAATAAGAACAATATATTACAAAATTTTGTTCGATGATGTACGCATGATTTCGTTCGCAATGTATCTTATATCTTGTACGAACAGATGTTGAAGTATAAGTTCGTTGCAATATGTACCTCCCGCTTTAACTATGTCGACGAGATCATCCTTCAAAATAGCAGGAATTGAACGAGGGATGGCTCCAACACCTAAGACCTGTGTGCTTTCTTGAATTTTAATTTCTTGATAATCGTGACATGTCTTTTTGTCTTCTACTATCTGGAACCGTGTGCTTTCACAACTCTGCATACAACAAAATCAACCCTATATGATACTGCAAGCATTCCGAAAACCCCCCCAAAAAATTAAATAAATTAAATAAATAAATAAATAATAAAAAATCAGGCAAAGGCATATTATGAGATATAGGCAGACGAATATTGGAACATATTTACCTGAGAAGGGCAAAATGTTGGTCGAGATATAGAGTTTCTGGTTTCCACCTCTGGATAAACTTTGAACCTACACGTAAAATTTCTGACTTAGTTGAATCTACACATGAACCAACACTGGTTCTCAACGAAAAACATGTTATGATGTAAGGTCTGGTATCGAATAACTTTCTAGCAGTTCACGAGAAGTTAGCTTTGCTCGAGGATTAGTTCAGACCTGTGTTTACATACTCGGCACTCGAAAATCGTCTCGCCTTCAATCATCTTGATTGCTCCAGACCTAATTACTGTGCCTTTGAGAGTGAGAAGAATCCCACGGTGCTTCACTCTCACACGTCCAATACTCGGAAATGTTTCTACCGACTCCAAAAATAAAATAAATAAATCATAAATTAATGATACAAGATAAATAAAAGCCGGTAGATCAAAATAATCACGAAAAAGTGACCAACCAGGGTATTCGAGAGGAGAACCGCAGACATTAATCCGAACATGCACGTAGGCCTTCACACTAGCATTTTCCATTTGCTTGTAATCCTCAAATATCACTTTCTACGAATTCCAATTCAAACAAATCATTAGCAATTTTACCCCCAATAAATCCCTTCATAAATTACATTCAGGCCATAAATAAATAGAACCTGAGCCCATATGGTGGATTCATCAAAAAGGGGTAAATATTCGGTGGGCTGCGAGAAAATGAGGTGCGCTAATGGTGGATTTTCGTCCATCAGCTCAGCAAAACTAATTGCAGAAACAGAAAAATTAAAATTAAAATCCGATTTAGAGAAAGGGAGAGTGTGAATTTGAAATGAGTGGGTAAAAAACTTACTCAACATGGAGAGGGTAGTGAATGCGGGGATCAGGGGAGAGGATAATACTTTGGAGTTGTTCCAAGTGATTCTTAATCAAAAATCCAGCCATTTCTTTGCCGCGCCCGCAATCATTCTCCATTGCCACCGCCATCTGCCGCCGTCTGTGTGTGTGTATCTGAGGGCAGAGAGAGAGAGAGTAGCCGGAGGGAAAGTTTGCGTTTGGCGGAAAGGGGTATTTGATTTGATTTGATTTTTTTAAACAAATATAAGGTTTATTTTATTTTATTTTATTTATTTATTTATAAGTAATGTAAGGTTAAATTGTCTTTAGTATAATGTATTTACCATTTGTATTGTTCTCATTTAAATTAATCACTAGTTTTGGTTTAAAGGATTTGTTAAATTTAAAGTTTGGTCTTTTACGTAATCTAAATGGCTCAATCACGAATTGAAGAAGTGTATCAGGCCTGAAGTAAGAAAAGCCCAAATAAGAAGAAGCTCGCGTATTATGAGAGACATGCATAAAGGAGTATCGTGAGAGGATTTCACAACGTTAGTGCTCCAACGACCAAGTCAGTAATCGTAGAGAAATAATATAAGTGTATTTATTTATAATATAATAAGAACGTGTGCATAAGGAATATGCAGGAGAGTAGTCTTTCCCGTGTGCTTCAAGACTGTATTTATCCTGTCGTATACGGATGGTGTGGTGGGTCCCACGTTATGTTGCAGTTTTTCCGCATTTGTTTCTGACATCGGGCCTAATGTAGTCACATACGTTGTTTATGTGACATGCTTTATGGAGTGTTATTGAAATACTTTAAAATCAAAATTTCAAGAATTATAAATGAAAAATATTGTTCCAATAAAAAGAAATTGGATCAGAATTGGCAGGAATAATATAACTACTCACTCCATTTGAAGTTAAAAGATGAGTGCAGTTAAAAAAAATGAACAAATGCTGTTGAATAAATGAAGTTAAACCATTTCAATAACCAGCAAAAATGAACAGCAGGATGTAAATAAGAAAAAAATAATAACTTTACCAATCTAAAAGAATTGCTGGGGGTGGGGGGCAAATGACAACAACAATTAACAAGGGCCTGTATCGATCACCCGTATACACATCTGGTAAATATAACTACTCCACATTTGAAGTACAATCACAAAAACTATGTCGAAAAAACTATGATTCAAATCCTTTCACTTATGCGACCTGCAAAACGAAGTCATTGACCTGCCAATATAAGGGCTGTAGCTTTCTTGAGCGATTCGCATGCTTTTTCCAGGTCGGTTTCTGTGTGAGCAGCAGAAACGTAAAATCTGATTCCAGCTGGCAATTTGCATTTGTCTACCGTTGATCTTTTTGAAGTTGCGACGAAAACGGAATGTTCCTTCAATAACTGCAATAACATTAGCTTACTCAGAAATAGGTATAATTGATATAAATTCGGGGAGTTAGGATTAGACTTGATATAATCATGTTTGGTATTTTTTTCACAATTGCATAATCACAACTCCCAAACATAATCGAATAATCACATATTACACTATCTTGAACTGTGTAATCCTTATCCAGCCCAATCAATCTTATCAATCCCTATCAAGATTTCCAAACGAGGCCACATAAATGTTACGTAAGGGGTGAGAATTAAGACCACTTACATTATCAGCAATATCATCAAGAACTTGAAGATCAGCTTTCATGGAACCTGCGGACTTCTTTAGTGTCAGAAAAACTACTGGTGATTCTGGATCACTGACTAATTCAAGGCCTTGGACATCCGATAAACCTGGAATATTGCACATTGCACGATATTGGACAAAAATAAGTTGGAAGAAATATTTTATGATATTACTAAATTGATTAGGACAGTTTGATAACGAAAGAAACTACTTGAAAAGGGGAAAATAGAAGAAAACCTTTACGTAGTGTAGCAATATTTGCCTTCAATTTTGTGATAAGATTTGGGTTTTCTTCCAGAACATCAATGGCAGTGATTGCAGCACTTGCCAGATAAGGAGGCAACGAAGCAGAAAACACATAACCAGAACTACTGAGACGCTGCCAAAATAAGGAAAGTATTGGTATTAGAGAAGCAGGAAAGTTTCTGTGGTATACTGTGAGCAACTATGGAAGGGTACCGACGTAAATTCTTGCAAATTTATTTTGCATGTACATCAATAGGCACTTAAACCCTCTAATTTCACCATTAAATTGTTTAACCATAACTATGACATTCTGTTTTCGGAAAAATTAAACTACTTGACTAAAGAAATTACTATCGGCAAGGATATCCATAACATGTAAGATGGCTATGTATCCAATTTCTTAAAAGATTGCTGTCGTCAGATAAATTTAGCAAATCAATGGAAATCCATGGGTATACCAGAAAATTGAGAGCTGAAAGCTCCTGTGTTATCCATTAGACCAATTTTACCTTCAAGTTTGAAGTATGCAGAAAACAGGAAAATTTCGAAAAGGTATAATCAGTGTGTTCTAAGGCCATGTAAAGTGAGCCGCTCTCCGTTATCGAATATATGCTTAAGATATGCTGCGAAGTGAAGTGCCCTAAATAGGAAAGCCTACTCGACTGTTATAAAGCATATGTGGAGGTACCTAAGCTAGTACATAGAAAATTTATTCCACAGCCAGCCCTACTAAGACAAGCAAAATAAAGAAAGCTAGATTTTTTAGTCTTTCAGGACTGGATGTAATATTTAAATCAACTATATTCATACCCACCATAGTTGTAATATTTAAATCGACTACATTCATATCCACCATAGTGGACTTCCTAAAAACATGAATACCTGGTGATCGATAACTCGAGCACTCCCAGTGCAAAACCCTCCTTCAGTGGCCAATGCATGTCCCATTGCAGCAGTAACAATATCCACCTTCTCAATCTGTAAAAGATAGTGTATGTAATAGGAAAAAAAGGAGGTAATGTAAATCATATACAGCCAGTTAAACAGCAAAGTGGTGGAAACTTACTGGAACTTTGTAATGTTCAGTTAAACCTCTACCAGTACTTCCAAGAACTCCAATAGAATTGCTTTCATCTAGTATTACACGGAACCGGTATTTCTCCTTCAATCTGATGATGTCATCCAACGGAGTTATTTGACCAGAATTCTGGAATAAAACACGATAACTTAGAAATAAACTTTTGGAGATCCAGAAACAAAATTAAAACTGTATCCCGAATTTCCATGTTGAATTGATGTTGGGTCACCAATGGACACCAACGATAGGAGAAACATATCAGAATCAAGAAAAAGAAGAGAGGAGGAACACTAAATACTAATACTACCTCAGTAGGAAAGATACCTGATAGACAGCTTCAACAATGATATAACGCCTAAGCTTCTTAGCTCGTTTGTTGTCGTGGGTGACGTTTTCCAGAATACTCTGTAAGGACTTCATATCATTGTGCTTGAAATATACAATCGTACTCCGAGAGAGGTGAAGGCCATTTTGTATTCCCCAGTGGACACCTTCATCTCTATAAGAGCCACAGCCGAAACCCCCAACAAAAGGAGAAAAAAAAGATACTATTAATATTTAAAATGATTGTTATGCAAGCTCAGTGGAAAGCAGTCAATTGTATAAATCTACACCAGTTCGATTAAGGCAGTACGTAAGAGGATGGTTGTCACCATTGCCAAGATGCCTATGATGCTAGAACTTAGAGGCATAACACGTGTGCCATGTAATATTCAAAAAAATCTTTTTACTTTAACACATCTAATCGTAAATCTACTTAAATTGTCACAAAAGAACTTTCAGCCAGATGTTTACGTTGCACTGTAAAGCATCGTTACCAACAATTACATAAGAGAAAGATAAGGTGATGACAGACTTACACGACAACAAGATCACCCTTCTTACAAAATGCTGGAATGGTACTAAACAGCGTGGAAAGTCCATAGGAATAAAGTATAGAATCATATGTTCCAAGAAACTTTGCTATTCTGGCCTCACAATCAAGGTGTACATCTGCATCAATAAACATGTTGTCTTCATGGTCTCATATTGTCCAAGATTAAGGCGAAATGCATTGAGCATATGTCAAAGGTTTGATCTCATACCAATAGTCCCATAAAATCCACGTGGACCACAAGAACCCACACCGTATTTTTCCAATGATTTAGTACATGAATCCTGCTTGGGCGTTGGTATCAGTTGAAACGATGCAAAACACTAAATTAGGAAAAAAGATAATAGATAAAAAAAAATGTTTTACCTGTAGCTTCTCATGCCCTAAAAGACCAAGATAGTTTGCTGATGTGAAGTTCAAAACATCCTTGCCATTGATTATAGTATGCGGTCCAGCAGCACTATATAAAGGAATCCATGATGTAAAACGAAAATCCAAAAACGCACTGTGCACTTTTCAGAATTTTTTTTTTAAACAATTAGGAATTTGAGCTTATGAATCAGAATGAATACTGTCGTTTCAATAAGTAATTGTGTTAGACGTTATGGTCATTCACGCAAATTGAAGACATGTCTATGTGCCATCTATTTTTATAATACTTGCATTTCCTTCAGAAAGAGAAGTAAATTTAATTTTTCAACATCAGCTCCCGAAATCAAACTTGAGAAAAATTGAATTATTGAAGATATTCACCTTTCCAGAACCGGAGGTTCATACTTCATTTCTTCAGTAATAGCCGGAATAAGGGGCTCTGGGACCCATTCATCACATAACTCATCTACTTCCTGCAGACCATTAAACAATGGGTGAACAACTAAATTGAAATATAGAAAATGAGACATAAAACATGCAGTTCAAGATGATAATATCAAGCATATAGCAAACTGCACTTCATGTACAGAGATGCATAATAGTTAAAATGGAAGGCGGAGTAGAAAGACTCAAAGCAGTAACCTACACACTATCGGATGACTTCAGCTTTCCTACTTACAGGGCACTGAACTTGCACTTCAAGACAAGGAAAAACAGGTGCTTCGAGCGTCCTTTAAATTCAACAAAAACAACTCTCACTTAACCAATCAGAAAATAGTGTTGTCGCTCAGGGTGATGCTAATGGTAATGGTATAAGTGAGATCATGAGCAATTGACTACAGTTAAAAACATGCATGTTTCCAAAGTTTAAACTCAATACAGCGCAACCATATAAAAGACATGAACGGGATAAAAAGGGAAACAAGAGAGAAAGGAAAAAATAAAACCAAAAAGAGATCTCACTTTAAAATAACTTAGATCACTGGGCACAGACGAACATGGAAATAAAAACAGATAAAATGATAGATAATATAAATTTGAACATGCATACGTCGTAAAACCGACCTTCTTTGTCAATGGTCTCTTAGGTGGCTTGTAACTCTTTTGGGATAGAAGGAAAAGAATCACGACAAAGAGAAGACCCTCCACAAGCAGATGGCCTGCCAGAAATTTGAATATATGAACAAGTTCTTACAACTTAAAGTTGAAATCATCATATTTATATGTCGAGGCGTCCTAAAGAAAATATAACTAACCTCTAATTGGCACTCCCAAGACAATAGCCCGAGAAGATGGGGCATCAAAGATTATTGTTACCCAATCTGAGAAAGACTTTATCATATTTCCAAAAGCTGACAACATCGTATCCATTATGTTAACTTGGAATACAAACAATGCTTCGACCGAGTTACAAAGAAACGAAAAGGGTGTCTCGTCGTAGAGTAATGTCTTTCTTCTCTTTAAACCAACTTATTGGAAGACGTTTACATCAGACTCGAGGGTGCGTTTATCCATGAACTGAAATCAAACAGAAGTAAAACAAATATTTTCTAGTTATCCAAGAACTACTTATAATATGCATCTACAATATCAAGAGGGCAGTAAAAGAATGTTTTTACATCGAGCGATTTTGAGTTTAAGGATTCAAAACCAAGAAATAAATTCATTAAATTTGATTAGATAGACCTCAAATCTTTTGCCTCACATCCAGATCTAACCTAAAAGACTAAGTCCTCATTCTTCGTGGGCACATCAAACCCGAGAATCATAATCATATAAGACACGCACATATCCACTACACTTGTTAAACATTCAAGAGCAAGAACATCCAAGCATATTGATAGTATAAAATAAAATAAACTTATATTCACAAAAAAAATTACATACATACTGCCACATATATCTATAACCCTTCTTTGCAACCGAATCGCAACCGAATTGAAAGAAATCTGACTTGGATAACATTAATATTTCTCCCATCTGTCATCCAGGAGCTAATCTTATGTCACAAACACGATTTGGGCGAATCAAATTAGATCAGAGAATGACACGAGTTTCAACTATCAGCTCCTAGAATATATATATACAGACAACGCAAATAAACATGGGAAGGCATATGAATCGATTTATGAAACAAAAACACACGAACAACAAACAACGCACTTAAAAAAAAAATTCCATATCCGATAATTCACACACACATGCCATTTGAGTTTATAGTATTCGACGAAAGAGAAAATTCAATTCGTATTAATTAACCGAATACAAATCGATAGTCGTTTCTCGACGGTGCTCACCTTGCTGATTTCGCTGCCGGAAAATACTTTGAGCTGATTTCGCTGCCGGAAGAACGTGACGGAGAAAAATTGGGAAGAGAAGCTGAATTAAGAAATACAGAGCGATGCCATCACGGATGGGGGGGAGGTGGTGACGTGGAGTGGATCTGGGCTTTCGGATATCGACCCGGTTCGTTGACCCGACTTTTCCTCAGTCAATACGGGCCTGCGTGTGGGGCCCATCTCTACGCGAATGCACTTTCGTCCATTTCTCTGATTATTACATGTTTAATTACAAACATTGAATGAATTTTGGGAATAAATGAATATATAATTTTTTAATGAAATATTATTTTATATATTTGAAATTAATATTTTAAAAAATGTGCGTATCGTATTTTTAATTGATGACGTGCATTTTTTTGCAAATAATAAGTATTTGGGAAAATTGTAATTTTGGTCCTATATGTTGGTCTCTTTAGAAATTTAGTCCTATAAGTTGTCTTATTTTAATTTTACATGCAATAATTATGCAAAATTAGTATTTTTAGTCCTATTTCACTCTCACTTTGAATTTTGGCATTTGTTTAATGATATACCTAACAAACTCGTTGAAAGTTATTTAAATGGACACTTAAAAATTATAAATACTCCTCTAATTTGGTTTATAAATGTGTCGTCTCACATAACTAAAGTTCTACCAACGGTAAATTAGATAAATTAGATGTCGAATTTATCAATTTACAAGTGTCCATATAAGTAAAATGCGTCAAATTTATTTGTCGCGTCATAAAATTAAAAAATCATGCAAAATAGGACTAAAAGTACTATATTTGCAAAGTTATTGCATGTAAAACTGAAACATGACAAATTAGAGGACTAAATTTCTAAATAGGCCAACATAGAGGACCAAAATTACAATTTTCCCATAAGTATTTCAATTTAGGAAAGTTGAAAAACGAATAAAACAAGCGATGAATATAATTAATTTATTACAAATAAAAATTAAATCGGGCGAATCAAAATTCGAACAAATGTGAATACATTTTTTTCTCCCTAAGAAAATGATTAATTAATAATTATCTTTTATTTTCACAATGAAGAATTAAATTACCGAACTAGCACATAAAATACCACAAAAGTTTTATTTTATTCAAGAAATGCACTACGGCCCCTTAATCCGAAAAATCATTACAAAGAAACCCAAACATCCAACGGCTCCTTAGCGCGCGTGACGTTGAACTTGGTGATCACGGGACGAGGGATCAACGGATGAGAGTACGTAAGAGAATATTCCCCGAGAAACACCTTCTCCTCGAAGATTCCCTCCTTGTCCGTATATCCGGTCACGTTCGTCGTCTTCCATTCTTTCATAAGCTTATCGTACACGTCGCCCGCGGGGGTGTTGTTGAAATTGCTGTCCACGAGGCATAGCTCCATGCACCCCGTCGGCAAAACGGTGTAGTTTTTGTCCGACAAGCATCTCTCGTTGCACGACGTCGGCTTCCACCCCGCCCACACGATTATCCCTTCCACCGCCGGATGCGCGAACGCTTCTCTCATTACGTCTTCGAACTCAAACACCTTTGCACACATTTTTAAATAAATTAATTAATCACTCCGTCCGTTTCTTAATAAGTGTCGCTTTGACCACTTTTTTTCTTTTCCATATTAAGTGTCATTTTAAGATTTCAAGGTAAAATTAATTTTTATTTGTCAATTTTGCCCTTTATTAATTTGTCTTTCTTCAGAACCACACTAGTTAAGGAATGGAGGGAGTAATAAATAAATAAATAAATAAATAGAAGATTGTGATCATATCATATGCATTATATTACCTGATTAGGGCCTCTCCTAAAATCGAGTTCGGTGAGCCAAATCGGCATACCGGTGGCGCCGAGAATATCGAAACTCGCGCGAATATGCGAAACATTCGGCTTGAGCAAGAAATGCCCCTGTATTCCAATACTCAACGGCATGTTCTCGTTCCCTGTAAATGCCCTAATCTCTCTAATCTTCTCGACATACTTCCACGGGATCACCTTCAAATCCATAGGGTACTCCAAGACGTTGTACTCGTTCAAAAACAACGGAGTCTGCGGATCCATCGCCCTCACAATCTGGTAAAACATGGCCGAGGCGTTCGCGCCGAGCTTCTCCTCGAAGAACGAGTTGTGCATGTTCTCGTTCATCACGTCCCACCCGTTGACGCTCCCCGAGTACCTCGACACGATGGACCCCACGCGCCGCATGGCGGCCCTGAAGATGTCCCTGGGTGCCAGCAACTTGACCCAGTACTGGTTCACGTTGGTGGCATCCCAGTGGACGGCGTGGCCCCGCACGGCGATCCCGTTCTGCCTGAAGAACGAGACCATGGCGTCCGTGACCGTGTAGTTCTCCATGTCGGGCCCCACCTCCGTGTAGTACCACTTCATCTCGTTGTTGAAGGTGGCTGCGGCGAACCGCGAGACGAACCAATCCTGATAACCCTTGTTGTCGACGATGTAGGATGTCGTGCCGGAGCCGACTATGAATTCGGACCTCGTTTGGTTGATGATCACTTTTGCTCCTCTAAGTTTTAGTCCATCTTCGCTTGTCACGTGGATTCTTACGTTTCTTTTTCGGACCTGGAATTATTTAGTAGTTATTACCATATCTTATAATAGTGTAAACCTCTATAAATTAATACAATCGGGATCAGAGAAATTCTATTAATTTAGCGAGTTATTATATTATCGAGTTAATAATTTAACACGTTCTCACCAAGTCGGGACCGAGAGAAACTATTATTTAAGCGAGGTTATTAATTTATATATATATATATATATATATATATATATATGCAATAATGTACCTTGTTGATGCTTTTGTTCTGTTGGGCTCGCCATTCGGCTTTGGTGAACGGCTTGAGGGAGGCATTGTCGATCCAAATTTCGATATCCGTGTTTTTGCTCTGCATCGATTAACGAAAAGATTGAAACGGAGGGATCCAAAAACATTTATGAATTTATAAAAAAAAACGTGGCAATTAGTACCGCGAAAAACAGTTGAACTTTCATATTTTGATCAACTTCAAACCCTCCTTTAAGCATGGACCAGCACCCAGATTTAGCTATTACTGAACCAACAATTACATTTGTGCCATTAGGTTCTTGCACGAAAGCCGATATTATCTCGCTTCCTTCGTCGATTTGAAACCATGCTGTCAAATACAAAAATAATAATCATTATTTTGTCAAAAAAAAATGTACTAATCTTCAATTAATCTCTTTTTTTTTTATTAATTACCTGAAAATGTGTAGTAGAGATCTTTCTGCACATAAAAGATGTGAGAGAAGCTATCAGTTGCCATTTTCCTGTCATAAGCTACCATATAATTATTGTTTACGTATTTCGACGTTCTTAATTCGACTTTTCCGAGTCCAAATTTGTCCCATTCATCCAGGCCCGAATCGAAATTCGGGTTTCCGATGAGCCCGCCGTCGTACAGAGGTGACCAAGGCCCTCCCAAGCACTGTAAAAGAAATGTAACATATTTTTTTTTTTTTGTCACAAATATAATTAGAAAAAATGAAGTATTTTAATTTTTTTCCTTACATCAGTAGTGGCTGAATAGTCATAGGGTGATGAAGCAGCACAACCTAGAATCATATAAAATGTGAAATTAATTAAATATATATTTATTATTATTATTATAATAATTAAAAAAATAAATAAATCAAGAAGTAGTAACTAACCTGTAAGAAGTGCAGAGAACAAAATAACAAGTATCTGAAAGCTTTTCATTCTTCCAAATACTGAATTGCTGTGATTGGTTAACTTCAATTTTAAATATTCACTTCTAATAAATAATAAAAGTATAAATTCTATTTATCATTTAATAGAATTTAATAAACTCAATTTTTTTATGTTCATAAAGAACAAAAGAAATGAATATGCTAATTAGACTTGTAATCTTGATTTCTAATTGTTCACTAAGCCAACAATTAAATAGACTTTGTTGTTTGTAAGTATAGATATGTAACGCTCATGGTGTAGTAATTAGTGCAATAAGACATGTATTTAATGTTTAAATTAAAATGCGTTATATTGAATGCTTAATGTAACTCCGATGCAATAACTTTAACTCAAGATATTATTGACACATTTATTTATCTCCAACTGATACAATTTTATTAGCTATTTTTGACAGAATCATTGTTATTATTTTTCTTAGATTTTAGCCGAGAAAAAACTAGGCTTAATTTCATTTTGCACCACTGAAATATAATTGTTTGGCACTTTGCACCCTTAAAAAAATTTAATAACACTTTACACCCACGAAACAAAATAAATAATGCATCCTGAATATTTTTTTTAAAGCTAGTAAACGTAATTTAATATTTTTAGTCGTTTTTTATAGGATGTCAAATGTCAAATCAAAAAATGTATATTCATCAATTCTTTCGAACCTATTCATCAACATATTTAAAAATTATATGTTTTACCACAAAAAATATTTTACTAAAAAAAAATCAAGTTATTTGAAAATTACTTCCAAAGATTATACTAAACATTTTCACCGGTTACAATAAATGATTCATCAAATATGAATTAATTTATAGAGAAACAAATATTTTATTTTTAGTTTGTAAGAAAGTATTAGTTTTTTCGGTAATTATGATTTTTAGTTTTCCGCACTTTTTTCACTCGAAGTTGCATTGGAGGTACAAGAAAATAACCATTTAGTTTGTTACTTTGCACCTGGGAAATAAAAAAAAACCCAACAGAATATGAAATTGCTTTCGTTAAGCTTTAAAAATACTCAATTCAATATGCATTGTGAATGATTAATCATATCGCAATAATCAACAATAAACAATTTTGAAATATATCCTAGTTGAGTCGAGTTGAATGCACAATTACTTAAATTTGTTTGAGTTTTTATTGATCTTAAAAAATTGTACTTGAGTTCGTTCAATAAGCAAACGAGTCAAGTTCGAACTAGCTTTCATCAAACTGAATACAATTAGTTCAGCTCGATAACCTTGATCTTTTTTTAATATTTTTTTGTATATTCTAACCGAGTTCGAACACAACTCGAGTTTCGTCGTTTGTCGTGTGTTAAAAATTGGTAATCAAATTAACCATTCCTCACACAATGGAAGTATACCAATTCAAAGAAGAACAGTATGTGGGAGTTGTCTTCTTGCAAACATTCGAGCCGCCACCATCCCGGCAGCCAATGCACCTCCGAATACGGTGTGCAGTCTCACACAGTAATATTTCGCCATAAAAATCTTTGTCTCGTCCTTTACGAGAAAAAAGGAAAAACCATATATAATTAGCATAACGAAAGATACGTGTCGATTTTTACAAAAATCATTATCAGAACTCACTTTGTGGTTCTTTTCGACGAAGCTGGATACTAATCTTCCCACCGGTAACGTTAATGCACAAAGAACCTGCCAATAAAAACAGAGCAAAAGAAACTACTAAAATCGAGGCCTGTTATATTATATTATATTCATCGAGAGAGAGAGAGAGAGAGAGAGAGAGAGAGAGAGAGAGAGAGAGAGAGAGAGAGAGAGAGAGAGCTCACAAGAGAAAAGAAAGGAAGAGTTTGGTTAAGTCCAAGCAAGAATACAAGTGAATAGAGCAACCCTACAGCCACGTTCACTACTTTTGCACCTCTTTCGGTTCCGAGTCTGACCTGGATTATATTTCAAATGCAAAATTTTATATAAATATATCTTCAAATATTTCTTCAATATTGATTTTTTTTTTTATGGTTTATAATATATAACTCACCAAAGGCGAAATTTTTCCGACAGCTTTATCATCTTCTATCTGAAATATTAATCATCCGAATCAGTTTTCAGAGAGAGAGAGAGAGAGAGAGAGAGAGAGAGAGAGAGAGAGAGAGAGAACCTGATGAAAGTGGCTACATAAGAGGATCAAGGATGTAGTGAGGCCAACAAGAATCGACGAAGAAACAATCGTGCCAGAAACCGGAAGTTCACTATCATCATATATAATATAGCAAACTACACTCAGTAACCATGTATGCATATACATACATACATACATACATACATACATACATACTTACATATAATTAGGTAATAAGTAGGAAATTAGAACAAACCTTCTACCGCTCTGAAGCAAGTAAAATGCGGTGGTGGCTAATGGACCGAATGCCGCAAAGCACAAGGGCTCTCCCAATCCCATGTAACTCAACCGAAAAGGCGGACACTAAAAACATTACATTTTTTATTTTATTAATTACTACATAACTCGAAAAAATCTACGCTTAGTAAGTAACTAACTAACCTGGTAAATGTAGCCACAAACTACGGCACAAGCAAGTAGCAATATTGAACGAATACTTTTAGCTTCAATCGACACCAGCGTAAGGCCCGTGAAACCAATTCCAAGTAGTAACCATGCAATAACATGTGCTCCTGTTCGACTTCAGACAGCAAATACAACACACAATCACCCTTTGCGTGTGTGTGTGTGTGTGTGTGTGTGTGTGTGTGTGTGTGTGTACTAACATTTCAAATTACCTGCCGAGTAGATTAACAACTGATTCTTTCTTGTTTTTATCGGCTCCGGTATCGAAATCATAAACATCGTTGCTGTCCAATATCGACATTCATTATTATTATTATTTTTTTTTAATAAATATTTAATATACGGAAAATGTAAATTAGCTCTAACCTTAGATTGAGCCAAGCTATGACGAGTACCGAAGAAACCAATAGCACAAAGTAACGTTTTGCAAAGTATTTTCCCGTCTGCAAATACGCCGCTGCACTTCCTACCTGCTTGTTCGATCAATATTTTTAGTCAAAACACAAAAAAAAAAAAAAAAAAAAAAAAAAAAAAGAATCTTGAATATTTGTAAAATTATTTGAATTTGTCGAAGAAAAATTGTCAATAAGTAGTAACGAAGATATTTTATACTTACTGAGATAGGGATGAAAGCGACGGTGTACATCGGTAATTTGACAGCTCTCCATATCAAAGTTGCCTTAGAGATATTATTCACTTCCTTCTCGTGTTGAATATGATCTTCGTTACTACTTGCTCTAGGCTTCAACGGAATTATATAACGCCTTTGTATAGAGTGTAGTTTCCTTGCGTCTAGTCGGAATACATTTTCGTGTGTAATGGCCCTCGATTGATATCTGGAATAGATACAAATCCTGAAACTGAACTGTGTAGCAGCATATTTTGATTTAATGTAATCCTATCACACGCTTTATATGCATAAAAATGATCGAAATCGGCCACCGGTTGAGTGATTTTATAATCAAATGAACCTCAGTTGATTGAATTATTGTAACTAAGTCATAAGACTTAACAATTAGTAACAAAATTATTAGTAAAGAGATTTACCTCTTGTGTTATATTGTTGAATATTTCAAAGGATAAATTACGGCCACCCCACGGGTAAGGTCAAATTACGAAAACTCCCCTCATGTTTGGGTAATTACAACCAACCCTCAACCATGAATCTTCTTACACGTCCATCATTGCGGTGTCAAATTTAGTAGAATCTTCTAAATTATATGGAATATTCTCCAGTTTGTACCCGTTTTACCTCATTCGAGCTCGACATTTTGAAACAACATGATCATAAGATTTGTCTATTGGCTTGTAAATATCAGATTGTGGTGCATCAGAACCTGCATTTTTTTTAACAAAACGAGTACAAACTACAGAATATTCCACGGAATCTAAAAAATTCTATTGAATTTGACGCAATAAGGGTGTACGTGTAAGAAGATTCATAGTTGATAGGTGGTTGTAATTACACAAACATGAACCATTTTTTCTTCATCATTTAATATTAATTCAGGGGTGACAGTAATTTGTTTACCTAATAAAAATACACATATACAGAGCAATGTAAGACCAACATTATCAGATAAGGATAGATACACATGTGGAAGAATTAAAGGACAGAAACAAATCAAACAATGCCTGTAAGAAAATAAATAAAATAAAGTAATAATAATAATAATAATAAAAATAAGAATATCAAGAAAATGTGTAATAACTTGCCTGTTGAGTTTGGTGACGCCATAGCCATGGCTGATGGAACAGAACGTGGCCGCCGCCGCCGCCGCCATAGCCATTGGCGCCGGAAAAATTAATTCCTTTTTTTACAGAACAAGAATATATATATTTATGCTGTACGCATAGGTTTGGAATCAAGAACGATGAAAACCCATTTTGAATTGGAAATTCAGTGACTGATTTTAGTGATTAGTGATTAGTTCATCTTGAAAAAGAAAAAAGAAAAAAAAAGTGGGCAGAGAGTAGAAATGAAGTGAAGAGATGATAAGAGAGCAGACAGCCGTTGGCCCAAACGAAAGTACAGTTGTCATGTGTAGTAACAGTTAATCCCACGATTAATTAATTAACGGTAAATAGCATTTATGCCCCTGTGGTTTGAATTTTGTTCACACGACCCCTTGTACTTTTCAATATCGTACATGACTCGGACTCCTTTGTATTTTTAATATATGCACATAACCCTCTTGTACTTTCAATATAATAAATCTTTTTAATTAGCATGATTATTTATCAAGTGGAATATTATGGTGTTTATGTGTTTTTATGAAAAGTATTATGGTGTTATGTGCACAAAATTCAAACTAAAGAGGGTTATGTACTTATATTGAAAATATAAGGGGTAATATGCACAAGCTCAAACTAAGCGAGGTTAAGTGCAATTTACCCTTAAATTAATGGCAGTTTAGTTGGAGACAGTGGCGGAACTATGTTGAGTTCTGGGTGGGCTGATGCCCAACCTGATTTTTTTTATGCTAATTATGTTTAGTTAGCTCTTTTATACACTATTTTAATCTTAATCCAATTTAATTAGTCCAACCAACAGATTTGTAATATAGTTTAAAGAGCTCCAATAATTATATTTTGGACAATATACACTTTAATTTATATAATTTAATTAAAATGTACAAAATTCTATTTATTTTGCTCTACATTTTCGAAAAAAACTTAAAAAAATTCGGGGGCTCTACCTCCGAAACCTCGTAAAATTTTAGCCCACCCTCACCGAAAATCCTGACTCCGCCACTGGTTTTCAGTACGCAATTACGGGTAGCCTAAGTAAAATATCATGATAAAACAAAATTAATAATAATTCCAATTTTAGAAAAAAAATTAAAACTTCAGAATTTTATTTATATTTTGGAAATTTTAGAAAAAATGCGGTTTTTAAAGAAAATATATGCAAAATTTAAAAGATACTTAATTATTTCTCTATCATGCAACTTCAATATTTTATACATATAATATATTTAAACATTATTATTTAATTTTTTTTATTTATTATTATATACTACAGAATATTTTTTTGAATAAAATTTGGAATATATTAAAATTTGGTTTGTACGTTGGGAATCAGAGCATGTAAATAATTTGGTTTGTACGTTGGGGATCGGAATTTACATTATTAGCCCTGCACATAATTTGGTTTCTACGTTGAATGTGAAGTTACAGTATTACCCCCCATCACGCGCATAATGCCAAACAAATAACCACCACTTTATGGAATATATAGGCCAACCATCACATTCCATCATCAAAATTATCGACCAATCAAAATTCACAACATTCTTTCCGTTTATCGGCAAAAAAACGCCACAGCTTCATCTTCTTCACCCAAAGGTGCAAAACGCCACGAAGCATCGTCGTCGTCACACAATTGTTGAATATGGAAAAACAATAAACTACTACAGCACAAATCTTGGCATCTTTCTTTCTCTCTCTTCTCTCTCTCTCTCTTCTCTGTAAGTAACTTCCAAATTACTATCCATATATATAATCATCCGTTACTCTGTCTCAAAGTCACGAGACTAATTAGCCGGAGAAACGCGCCACCCCATCGAATATTTTTCCCCTTTAATTTACCTTGGTCCCCCACAGATTCTGCAATGTCAACTACTGTAAGAAATTCCTCCCCTTTCTTATTTATTTAAACACCCAGATCTCCATTGAAAACGAATCAACTAATCATTTTTAGCATGCATGGCTTCACACAGTGAAGAGACTAATCACGTGCGAGGAGATGTCTTGAACGGCAGTGGTGCTTATCTGACATGGGAGGATCTTTGGGTGACAGTTCCTACAGTTAAAGAACATCATGGTACTAAATCGATTCTTCAAGGCCTCACCGGCTACGCCTGCCCCGGCGAGGTGTTGGCCGTTATGGGTCCTTCTGGTTGCGGCAAATCCACCCTTCTTGACTCGTTGGCAGGTAATGTAATAACAACCATTGATATCGCAGTTTGAAATTTTCGTTTGCTACTTTTGATTGCCCACCAGCTGTTTGTTGTTTGGTCTAGCTGACGGTTGATTCTCCTATATTCAGAGTTTCAGTGCAAAATTTTAAGGTTTCTTCCTAGTATGTATTTATACACTAAGATAAATCAGATTGTAGTCATGAAATAAATTTCAGGAAGGTTGAGTTCAAGAACAAAGCAGAAAGGGGAAATTCTGATAAATGGTCGGAAACAGAAGCTCGCGTATGGAACTTCGGTATAAGCCATCACTCTGTTTGTTTAAGGCCCCTTTTGTAATGAATCTATTTTACATTAACCATATTTTTTTTAATTTTGATTTAGGCGTATGTAACGCAAGAAGACACTCTAACATGGACATTAACAGTACGAGAAGCCGTTTACTTCTCAGCGCAGCTCCAATTACCCGTAAAAATGTCCAAATCCGAGAAAAGGGAAATCGCAGAGAGGACTATAAGGGAAATGGGACTTCAAGATTCGTTAGATACAAGAATCGGAGAATGGGGGAGAAAGGGGCTTAGTAGTGGGCAGAAGAGAAGAGTCAGCATTTGCATAGAATTGCTAAAACGCCCGAAGCTCCTTTTTCTCGACGAACCGACAAGCGGGCTCGATAGCGCAGCTTCCTACTTTGTCATGAACAGAATAGTGAAGCTGGCTCGTGAGTATGGAATGACGATTATATCCTCCATCCATCAACCAATCAGTGAAGTTTTCCAGCTCCTTCACAATCTCTGCCTTCTCTCGTCTGGTAGAATGATATACTTTGGACCCTCGTCTTTAGCCAATGAGGTGAGTGTGTAATAATGCACGATGATAATTCGTAAATTTGTTTTTCCTTTTTTTTGCGGATCTTGTATTGATCCGAGTAGTTTTTTGCATTGAATGGATTTCCATGCCCAGCTCTGCAAAATCCAGCCGATCATTATCTGAAAATGATAAACACGGATTTTGATGAGGTAATGTAACAACCTTATTATCAGATTTTACAGCTCTTAAAAAAGACGATTGCCTCGTTTTTATGGTTCACGCTGTCTTTTTTAGGACATTGAATGGGGTGCCGGAGACAAATTCACTGCGGAGGAAATAATTAATCTGCTCATAAGATCTTATGTTTCGTCAAACACTTGTGATCAGATGAAGACATTAGTGTCTGAAATACGTAAACGTGTAAGAAAAAACCGGAGATACTTCCCGTAACATGAAATATGTTTTTTATAATTTTTTTAAATATTTTATTTTATACCTTTATAGGAAGGAGGACCAGTGGAGAAGAAGGAGAGCCAAGCTAACTTATTTACACAATGCCAAATCCTCACGAAAAGATCGTTCATCAACATGTTTCGTGATCTGGGCTACTATTGGTTACGATTGGCAATTTACGTTGCCTTGGGTTTTGGCTTAGGGAGTGTGTTTTATAATGTGGGAAGTAGCTATAGCTCCATTCACGTAAGTCTAAAATGCATAATATTATCGAATCATCGTAATTTAGGCGATTTATTTTTTATTTTTTAACTTTTGTTATCGTTAATGCAGGAAAGAGGTTCACTACTCATGTTTGTTGCTTCACTATTGACTATAATGGCAATCGGCGGCTTCCCTTCGTTCGTAGAAGACTTGAAGGCGAGTCCGCATCATTGATCTATTTCTTTCATGTTCAATAATATCCCTTTCGTTTCCTATTTTACCCTTCCTTAGTTCCACGTCACATTTTTCCATATCAATTCCTAGGGGCATGGCCCACCACCACTTCTCAAAGACCACTATTTCACATAAGGGGAAATTACCAAAAAACCCGAAAAACTAAGGTCTGATTACCAAAAAAAACCTTCACGTATTCATAATTACCAAACTCCCCTTGACTAATGATGGTTGATTAAATTTTCTTAACAGAAAAATGTATAATGGCTATAATACCCTCGTGTTAAATAAAAAAAAAAGATCATAACTTACCAAAATCCTCTAAGGTATTGCCGAATTACCAAAAAACCCCTCGGATGAACATAATTTCTAAAAAAAACACAGTTTTTTTTTCTTTCACATAAAGCTACATTTGACCTCCACGAAGACAAAAATATCGGCCCCCCAATTGAATTAGTCATCAACATTTCAATCTTGAAAAAATTAGCCATTATTGCTCTTTGACAAAAAAACAAAATTGCAGGTTTTTCGACGGGAAAGATTAAACGGCCATTACGGGGCGGCGGCATTCGTAATCGGCAACACAATTTCTTCGACCCCGTTTCTTCTGCTCATATCCGCAATACCCGGTGCGATCACCTACTTCCTCGCAGGACTCCATCAAGGAAACCTAGAATTTTCCTACTTCACTTTGGTGCTCTTTTCTTGCATGATGCTAGTCGAGAGCTTAATGATGATTGTGGCGAGTATAATGCCTAATTTCCTCCTCGGCCTTATTGTTGGTGCCGGTGTGCAAGGGCTAATGATGCTAAGTGGCGGATTCTTTCAATTGCCGAACGATTTGCCCAAGATATTTTGGAAGTATCCGATGTATTACGTTGCGTTTCATAAGTATGCTTACCAAGGGTTGTACAAGAACGAATTTGAAGGGCGGAAGTTTGATAGTGATCGGATTGGAGGGGCGTTGACCGTTGACGGGGAGACCGTTTTGAGGGAGATTTGGCAAGTGGAGATGGGGTACTCGAAGTGGGTTGACCTTGGTGTTTTGTTTGGGATGGTGGTTGTTTATAGGGTGATTTTTTTTGTTGTTGTTAAGGTTGGTGAAAAGATCGGTAGTGTGAGAGATTTCGGTTTGTCTAGTCTTGAACCGGAAGAACATTGATATTTATGCATTATTTGTAACGGAATGTTATGTTGCATTTGGATGGAACGATTTGAATGAAAGATTCCGAGTTTGCGATGAATTCCAAGTCTTTAGATCTCGTTTTAAGTTTGGTTGTTTTTTTATTAATTGTGATGGATTTCAAATCTTTCTTGTTTTTTATACATTTGGAATCATTTTTCGGAACCATCTTCCGAAATTCAAATATTTCGATCCAAATAAATGTACTCATATTGAGTGAACATGTTCGTTGTTAGATTTGGTACTATAAATAATGGTTTGCTCTATGGCTTATACAAGATCTCTGTGAGCATGAATCAAAATGATTTAAGAATGAATTAGTTTATTAAATGATAAATTTGATTTTCTAAACGTATTTCTTTTAAATATATAATTATTTTTTCAATTTAAAAATTTTGGGCATCAAATTTGAGCCTGTTGAGAGAAAAGATGGCGCCAATATTACAGGGGTAAAAGTGTCACTTAACACACACCCATTTCCACCCTGCACAAATTAGTTCATTTCAGGAAAATAAAAAATAATAAAAAATTAGGCAAGAGAAAGATGCAGAGGAATATCATGACGGCGGCGGAGGGCGGAGCTTCCCACGTAATCTCTCTCTCTCTCTCTCTCTCTCCCGCTCTATCTCTCTCTCAATTTTAGATTCGGTTTGGTTTGATTTTGATCGTAGTTTGTTTCCCCGATCATAAACAACCCTAACGCGTGTCGATTACGCGCTCACAATTGAACGTATGTAGGGGCTGGGTGACACGAGGAAGACGATGAAGGAGATGGAGGTTGAAGCGGCCGCTCTCGCGGTGAAATTGGAGCAAGACATTGGCGCAAATCAAGGTTTACCTATTTGCCCCCCTATGGTATCAGCTTTCTGCTTTTTACCCTCAAATTCCTTGTTTCTGTGGTATATGAAATTGAATTTTAATTCATCATTTTTCCTTGTTCATTAGTAAAATATATTAGTGTGATTTATGGGATAGTGATTTATGTTTAAGTTAGTCCTGATATTTCGAGTTCTTAGGAAAGAAAAATTTGTTGGTTTTTGCGGTGATCATTGCCTAGCAACCAGACTTTGTTGGTGAAGAAATTCGATAGTTTCTTTAATTCGAATAGACGGTAGTAGGCCCTCGTTTGAGATTTCGCTCCAAAATTCATAGATCGGGACCAGTGATTCTGTAAAAAATGAGATAAGTGATGAAGCTACCGAGAGTGAATTTACGGTGTAGGGAGTTGATATGACTGAGTTTCAGTTGAGTTGGCGTTGAAATTGCTCTTTCCGGTACTTCCTTTAAAGCTTGGATCGTATTTCCTATGGGTGGATTTTTACGCTGTCATGATTTTTATGCTTCTCTTGTATCTAATCTTTTCTCTCCTTTTGTTTTACAGGAGATACGATGAGTTATGCCGACTTCAAACAATGCTCAACGATTGAAGCTGATTAAAGAGATACTTCCGGTGAGATTAAACTTTCGGACTTCTGTTTCTTTGTTCTGGAGACCTATGTCCTTAGTTTGTTTGCTTGCACATTTTTATGCTTTGTAAATGAAATTTTACTTAAATCACTTTTCAACTTGCAATTTCCGCCCGTGTTGTACCGAAAAACCAAAAAAGAAATAAAAAAGAAAGAATCAAAGCTGACCCTTTCTAGTACTCGACTTTTCAAGACGGTTCACCTTTTTGTGATCCTCACGAAAATTTGTGCTCAAACTCCGGCAGGGTATAATCGTCATAGAAATGTAGAGGAGTGATATTCTTTCGCCTATCATACTGAGGATCTAATTTGTCTTTTATTCAAATAATGATTGTCGATGAAGCCCAGCATGAACACGGCCACTATATACAGCGTAATGACGCAAACGAGGAACAAGGTGGATTTTTGATCAGCTGTCTTTGATTGAAATGTGAGGCTTCTTCTTTGTCAATGAGCTCCAGTTGTCGTAACTTATGTTTATCGTAAATTACTTTTAGTTTGTATTGCTGTTCTTTTTCGTGCTCTGTCGGCTTCCTGTTGTCTGAAGTATTTCATCGACATTTCAATGTATCAGCTAAAAAGGACCAATTTCCCCGGCATGAAGTAATTTTGCACTCGAAATTTACGCGACAGCTCCTTACTTGTATTCCCCTTATGGATATAGCCTATAGGTACGAATCACCCTTTAATCTCAGTATGGCATATTAATTTTATTTTACGAGTAACAACGTTTCACAAAAACGTTAATTTCCGGCAATTGCAGGAAGGTCCCCAGGTTCAGGGAGCCAATGCAATACAGCCCTTACACTTTTAAAACATCACTTGTGACTTCACACTATATACAATACAGGTATGTATTCTTAACCCTCTTTCTTTCTTTCTGCATTATCTATCTGATTGGCATTATATACATAATATGCATTATTGTTATTTTAATATATTTTTAAATTAAAATATATTTTCATTTGGTGATAAGGTAGAATCTCAGATAAAGCCTGCGATTGTGTCCCCCCCAGCAGCACTATTTTATAATTTATATAAATATTCCTGCTCCCCCACATTCATGCATCAAAATGAAATTAACTTAATCTAATAACTTCGAATTTATCAGAGACCAAATTAACCATTATTATTATTAGATTATCCTATCCCACTTTTTTTACATATCATAAACGACAAAATGTACACGTCATACAAAACGACAAACCTCCATTCATCCCCATCCCAGATCAAAAAAAAAAAAAAAAAAAGTACAACCCCTTATATTTACTAAAGTACACTTGCCCCCACTGAATCCCGACCCCTTCTTTTTTTGTTCTTTTTTTTTTATTTCCTCCAGTTCTTGTTAGTACACTCGCCCCCACTGAATCCGACCCCTTCTTTTTTTGTTCTTTTTTTTTTATTTCCTCCAGTTCTTGAGTTTCATACCAAATCAAACAAGTGTAGAGCACTTGGATGTTAGCGGGTCCCACATCGCCGGCAGCAAGTACTTCCGCCCATTCAACCCATGCGCATTATAGCTAGCACCCGTTGTCTTATCCGTCAACACACTCCCCGGGTAACCCGGGTACGCACCCGACCCGAACACCCCCGTACACGCCGTCACCGCTTCTAACGGCGCCGTCGCCGGACCCTGAAAATACCCGTTGTTAAACGGGTTCGTCACCGTTCCGGCTAAAACCGTAGCCAAGTTTATAACCATCCCGTCCACCCCAACATCACCGTTTGGCGCCACGAGCGGCGGCGTCTGTGGGCCGTAGAGCGGCTGGTGAAACGGCCACGCGCAGTAGCCCGGGCACTGAGTCTCCGAGTTCCCCACCCACGCGTACGCGAACCGAGTCGCGCCGCCACGGCTGGAGCCGTGGGTGCCGCACCGGTTCATGCAGAAACCGGCGACGGCGACGTCCTTCGCCGTGAGGACGACGTTAATCGCGCCGGCGGCGTGGCCTCCCCTGGCTGCCAGGTAGACGAGTTGGGAGTTCTTGAGTGACTTACCCATGGAATATTTCTCGTCGATGAACTGTTTCCCGACGGCGAGCGTCGACGGGCCGGCGACGCCCTTGTACTTCTCCGTCGTCTTCCACCACGACGCGGCGGAGGGCTGCGCGGTCTTTCCGGGGTTGAGGGACTGTAGGAAATCGACGATTATGGAGCGCTGGGTCGGGGTGAACTTCCCGTACCAGATGAGGTTAACGGTGACGGTGCCTCTCAGCAGAGCGCCGTTATGGTACTTGAGAACCAGCGGCTGCTCCTGCACCAGAGCAGCCGTGGAAGAAGATACAAAGATGAACAAGAAGAAGATGGGTAAAAACATGGATTTTCCAGGGGCAAAACGGTCATTTACTGCCATTGTGTTTAATTTTTTTTTTTACTAGATTAGATTTGAGCTTGGAGTTGTGAATCCTAGTGTGGTGGTATTTATACCGAGGGGGGCTGACGAACAGCTGTAGGAACGGAAATGTCAACATCGAGGGGGCCACGTGGAGGTTTACTATTGGGTGGGATGGGTTTGCTGCCAGGCTGGAATTTTTATAGGCGGATGACGTGTGCTGCGATTATGACGTGGAATCATGGCTGCTGTAGGTGATGTTGACGTGAGTTTGCAGAATTGTGCAGGAACGTTCTAAAAGATCTAAATCGCTATTAAGGCGCGTACCCTTCAATTTATTCTCGCTTTTTTTTTTTTTTTTTTTTTTTTTTGGATTTGTGAATAACTAATGTGAACGTAATATTTAGCCTCCGTCGACATAAAATGTGATGTAACATAAAATAATAAATTAAATCCACGTCATAGTAAATAGTATCATTTACTTTACATAATTGAATTGATGGGACAAAAATTATTATCAGAACTCACGAATTATAGCTTTCATAATTTGCCCTAGTGTGTAATATGAGCACACGTTTATAAATTTGAGTCTTTGACCATTGTAAGGCCTATGCGTTAGCTGAGTTGGTTGATTAGTGGCCATCGACAAAACCTAACTAACCGACTTCAGTAAAAATATAGAAAATTATTATCGACCCAATTTATATGGATTGGGTGACAGCTGACAATAATTTAGTGGGTTGGATAAAATTGATAAAATTGATCCATGCATGACACTAATTATACTAAGAGTCCCATAATTTTATTTTTCTTTATTTAATATATGAGTATAATATAAATTAATTGATCACTTGTTTTTATTTTAATCGAAGGTAGGCATGATAGACTCTTGAGTATTCACAGGCAGCCCCCTACCTGCCCAGGATGCTGTTATGTGAGTAGGGGCAGTGCTACACTTTTAATCATGCTATTATTTTACTGACATCATTATATATATTTCAATAATCAATTCAAATATATAAATACATTATGCAGTCGTGTTTATCTGCTCAATGATCTCTTTTCCCTTTTTTAATATTTTTTTCTGGCATTTTGGACCACTAAATTAAATGAACCTATACATAAATAAACTGAAATCCAAAATTTCTTCAGGAAATTATCGAGTACAGTCTATAATTGGCCTTTTTTCCCATTTAATTTTTGAGCATAATATAAATTATGAAAATCTCGTGAACTTAGATTAAATTATAAAAATACCCCAACCTATTCATAATTATCATAATTCCTCGATGTTTGTGTCCGTCTTACATCGACTTCTTTAGAGTGTATTTTTCACGAAATCTTTTTTATTCTGATGAATATTTTGTGAAATTGTTAATTCAACCTTTGTAGACGTGACATCTCGTTATGCTACTTTTCGAAAGAAAACAAATTTAACCTCATAGGAAAAAAAGTGATACTAAAACGTTGTGAATATGTTATTTAAGAATAACAAAGATTCCGTTTAAAGGCTCCCCTAAGGTTAACTTTTGGCTTTAAGAAATTGCATAAAGAAATGCCCACTTGCCAGAGTAGAATTGACATTTTTTCGGGAATAATCCCTCGACTCAAAAGGTTTCCGTTAAAAATCACACCATAAAGGGGATGTAAGCTGGAAACAAACTTCGGAAGAATTTTAATAATAACGGATATGTGTGAATATTTTTCGTGATTTAATCTAAGCTGTGGGTTTTTCGCGATTTACCCTAAATTTAAATCCCTTTCTCCACATAATTTCAAATTTTGCTCTCCAAATCTATAAAATATTGAGCTAAATTTAAAGTAATGTTTTATCTTTTGTAAAATTTTAGAATTTAATTTCATGATATGGAACGAGTTATGATGAATTTTGGTATACATATTTTAATATTTTTTTAGAACGGATTACTCTATAATTTTTGGGCTAAATTCAATACCCCACATAAATAAATGGAGAGTATATAAATATATATATTAGTAGGTAGTGGCCCTAAAAGCAAAAAAAATGAGAGGCTTGTTGCATAATTCAAGGGCATGGGAATAGTGGGGCCCACACCTGGAGTTTTTCAATGATGACATCACCTTTCAATATCTTTTGGTTCAATTGCTTCTTTCGAACTCCAATGGTGAGAGATGCTTGCCTGCTTTACTCACTAGTTTATTACTGTGCACTCCCTTTTGAAAGAGAATAATTAAGTATAATAAATTATAGATAATTTTATTTGTACTAGTATTATGGACTTATGGATACACGAGAGAATAATCAAGTATAAAAATAGTATTTCACATTGAAAATCTAAACTGATATATTATCATAATTCATTGTAGAGAATAAAAACTACATAAAATGATACCATTTTAATCATTGGACATGCAAATATATTTTATTATACAAAACTTCGAAAGTCGAAAGTAGAAAGTAAAAGGATAAATTACGGTCACAGCCGTAAGGTACGGTTAAATCATAAAAAAGTCTTTTTATAAATAGTTGAGGTGGTGGTCGTAATTATCCAAACATGAAAGTTTTTTTTTATATAATTTAACCATATTTCAGGTGGTAATTTTTTTTTCCTAATTTAGTTCAATTGAAAGGGTATATTAGAAAAGAAGAAAATAAAAGGATGGGGGTATTAATTAGTTTCTCACGTATGGTAAATATATATAATAGGCATGTAATGAATTGAATTTTCCATTGTCAACCCAGACAACTCTCTTGTTTCACCTTGTTTGGCATTAAATAACTATTTTGACGTAATACAAAAAAATAAAATAAAAAGTGAACTTGGTAAAGAGTATGGGAGTTTACCAATATAGTCCTCACCAAGTATGGAGTGTCATTGGAAAACAAAAGTCGATGTAACTTATATGGAAATACTCGATTCGTCGTTGGGAGTTTGACATCAATTATCCACGTGAAAAGTATCGGTAAAATTAACCCACAATTGAGGATATCGTGCACACTTTTGTATGTTAAATCTATTATAACGTTAGGATTTACGATTTTTCTGACATCAATTTGTTTTAACATATAACTGATAGTTGATGTAACATTAATTTCATCATCTTACCAAACACACCCTAAACGAATAAACACACGTCACGTGAATTATTGTTTACATAAACATTAATGTATTCTTAATGGATGCCTCATGCCTACATGATTGGGAAAATATATTTATTAACCACAAATTAAAGGAAAAAATGATGTTAGCTAATTTAAACTATTTAAAAAGAAAACTATAATAGAATGTTGGAGAACAAAAAGTTAGTGACATTTTTTTTAATAAACTCAACAAAGAAATCGAATCTGAACGTATAAATGCACCGAATAAACTTCAATTTTCATGCAATAACTCGTAAATTACACGAGATATATACCATGTTGAGTTGTTCACATAAACTATATGTAATAATCTCGACTGTAAAAATATTCTAACAATAGAATTCAAAGTCCGGTCATTTAACTCCATGCGTTCTTGATTTATTAATTAAATATTGGCGTGAAAAGTTTGGTGTGCTTTTAAATTCAGGTGGTGTTTGCAAATGTTTTTTGAAAGTGATTATGCGGTTTTTTTTTGCCCATAGTCTGTTTTTAAGTGTTTGCAAAATCAACTTTTGCTTTTGCTTCTCTTAAAATAATCTGCTTTAAGCTATTTTTTTAAAAGCACCCCTAACCCTGCTTTTTCAATTTTAGTTCATTTTCCGAAATATTTGCAAACACCCCCAACTTTTAGAAATAAGCACTTAAAACTAACTTAAATGACAATCACTAACTTCTGCTTTTAAATAATCATTTGCAAACACCACCTCAAAACAAATAGAAAGTGGTTCGAGCATAATTTGAAGCATGCGCCGGCCGGTCGAAAATGCGGTGCCGACCGCCGACCGCCGACGAATTTGGATATTGGTTATTATCTCGAGAAACACGACATTATACATAGAAATTAGCCAACTTTTCCACTAATTCGACAATATATATATATATTATTGTTTTCTAGCGACACGCTTTTGCGGTTCGCTCCTTTCAAAATATATGCTTTAAATATACTTTTTCTTAGTGGGTTTTACACGTAATAATACTTTCCGAAGTCCCAAATTACGAAATTTATATAAATAACATCGATTAAGTACATGATCGAGTGCAGCGGCTAGTCCCACCCTCACTTGAAATTTTTATTCACTATATATATATATTTACCCAATATTTATTGTTAAGCTCATCCATAACTTAAATTAATGCAAAAAAGTCCTAAATTTTTCACCATATTATATTTATATATTTATTTAGTTTTAAAAATCCACACATGCAAAAAAAATCTTAATTTTTTTTTTCAAAAAAACTTCTAATATTATAAAAAGAAATCCTAAAAAAAACAGCCTTAGCATTTTCATAGGGAGTGGGGAGATATACAGGGAAGTTGGGGACTGTGATATGTATTTTGGCTTGTTTCATCACAGGACATTTTGGAGCTAATAATATCAATGTCCGGACTCAAAGTACAAATTCCAAAAAATAAAAAATAATAATAATATAATAAATAAATAAGTCAATGAATAAAAATCGTGGTATCATATGTGAAGGATATTGCGCAACGTAGCATTGTTTTGCATGACAAGTCTTATATATGGTCAATAAACCTCATGGCCCTCATATCAATCATGTCCTCGTGTACTAAATTATTTGAGTCTAAATTTAGTACACAAGGCTAAAATTGTATTTGTAAATGAATTAATTGCAAAAATTCTCTTGACTTATTTTTGTTTAAAATACCAGTACTTTAAGAAAAATCAATAATTAGGTGGCCGATAATACCAATAAACCGACCAATTTTTTACTTGATGAAGTCGGTAACTAACCTTTATCTGACCCATAAATCATAATGGTCGGGGATGTAACAGTTTTCAATATTCAATAAAATCGGTTGGTCGGATCGGAACGGTACTGGTTTTCAATATTCTGTAAATCGAGATTTTTGAATTAATTGGTATTATGGGTGCATGCACTTAGAATTTGAATAATTATGCAATAGTACTTGGAATGTGTTGCATGCCATATTGTTAGATATACATCAATGTGAGACTCCACGCCTATTTATATTTTGGAAGCCTAGCTACTATATGTATGTCGGTATATATTTAACATCATATAACTTATTTATTTATTTATGTTTTAATCAAGATTGTCTTTTAATTGCATGAAATTCAAATCACCATTGGATTTGGTTTATGAATATATGTGTTTTATGAAATTTTACGGAGTGAAACATGATTTTTTTTTTTTTTTAATCATGGGGATTGC